ACAAAGGCAGACAATGTACAAGGATCAACCAAGGACAACAACCCTGCCATCGAGTTACACGTACAACGGACAATAACAACGGCGAACACTGTGGTTATCATCACGATCGTACAAAAGATAAGATCCGTTGGACCTCGAACAAGGAAAGCGCATTCGGCATGCAGTTGGGTATCTCTTGCTCTAGCTCGATCATCTTCGACTCACCTTCCACCAAATCTTCTGATGCACATACACGGACCCACCGCTTCTCCTTAACGCCGCGATAACGCAGAGAATGCAACACGCAGCAAGCATAGACAAGATCCGCATGAGCTGCCCTGCTTTCGGAAATGTTTATGCTCTTTGCCAGAAAGCATCTGTCTTCACACTCCTTTCAGCTGCATTGTGCGCTTCCTGCCTTGACAGCGGTATGTTATACGCGGCACACAGTGACCTCTTCGGGGAAGGACGAAAAACTGAAAGAGACACGCACACATCCCGGCTTCATGTGGTACTGGAACTTTTTTGGCATGAGCTTCTTGTAATCCTGAGCTGTGCTGGGCTGGGTTCGGTCTGGGGTCCAAGATCTGCCTTGTGCAGCCGGGTCGCAGGATCATGCGTGTAGCTGAGGCAAACATTGTCTGCGTCACCATATGTGAGCCCTTTGCGATTCCTTTCCCGGTACGCCTCACCAGGGCACCCAAGCAAAGCAGCTCCGTGTAACTGCGATGCGAATCGTGCACTCTGCAGATCCCGAGCCCAGGCCCTCAGATGTTCAAGCTAGGAGGGTTTTGGGAGGACGGTTCGGATGTGCCTCTGTTCGCCGAAAGCTCCGACTCTTCGTCCACATAATCAGAGAGGCTCTCTCGCCCTGTACAGACATAGCTGAGCACGCAACAAGACACCTTCACGAAGTAACATGTGGCAAAAGACAACGGTGTTTGCTGTTCACCATCCTTCTCGATGTCCATGGCGCCATGACGTCGTTTCCCAGAGTGCACAACGCAACGTCCGCGTACGTGCTTGTACCTGCGCGCAAGATTTTGAAAAGCGCAAAGATCGAAACTGCAGCGAGCCCTTGCGGAATCTGCTCAATGGTTTGGAATCGTCTGTGCTGCAGCACGACATGCACCATTTGCCATCGCTTAGTTTTTACGAAATTTACTTAAGAGCTCGACAGATCGCTGACCTTTCCACATAGTAAGTAGTCAATGCAGCATGTCCGCAGCAATCTGCTTAATTGATGTAGTCGTTCAGGCCGACGAGCGCCAGTGAAGGGAGAGGCAGGCCAACCATGACTTCTTGTAACAAGTGTTCAACAGAGTCACTCCGACCAATCGACTATCTGACAGTCTCACGCGAGATGAGAATGCTGCGGGGGCCCACGACATTCAGGCCTTGCACCGTTGTTGATGCTTATGAAGTTCAACCAAGCCGCCTGTGATGCAGCTTCCGATGGCTCGCTGAGTCAAACATTCCGCAGAAAGTCAAATCATTACCCTCGAAGTTTTCATGCGATGTGACGCCAAAGTTGAACGTCACATCGCACTCATCGATGTGCATGTCCAGGTGCCTCAGCTGTTGCGCGATTTGCCAACTTCCGGCAGCTGGGACATATATCGGGTCATTGACTCCCGAATGGTAGAGTTTCCATGAAGGTAAGTGCAGCGCTTGTCGTCTGTTGGACGGTACTGCACGATGAAACTGTGATGGTCGTCGAGGGTGGAGCCACCCCAATCTTCGGTTTCCACGTCGACACCCCCGACACTTTGCACGCGATCTTCATCACTGCCGAAAAGCCTGCTTGTCTTAGACAAGCGCTGAGTCGTGGCAAACACAGGAGCAGCTGCTTCAGACGCCTGGCTCCGATGGGAAGGAGGACCTCCTTCAACACAGAAGTGAACGAGGCACGTAGGCCGATCCTTCAGCGGGCTTGCTTGTAACACCACAAAGCTAGAAGGACAGCCCGTGCACAATCTGTACCCTTCTGAACTCAAGCGCAAAGCATCTCATTCAGCACCAAGCCATAGTTGTTCATGCTGTTCGGTGCACGGGATGGAAGGCCGCTTGCACGGTAGTGTCGCACTTCCTGCCCGGTCGATGTCAGGGGCAGCCCAGGGATCAGTTTTGTCTTCTCTCCCGGGCCTCCAGGAGCATGTCGCAAAACTCATCGGAGAGAGCTGGGAAGCTGCAGATTCCCGGTGCTTCGACCCGAAATCCATCGAAACTCTCCAGATCAACACCTTTGCTCTTGCTTCTGCATAGGTCGGACGGGAACCAAAGCTTTTCACACGTCAACGATGCAGGGCATGATGTGACACTAAGCTGGTTCTGACAGCTTGCCCAAACATGCATGCTTGCAGCGGGGCACAAGCGAAGCTGGTATCACCCGTTTCCTTCTGTTTTTGCCAGGCGGAGATCACTTTGAGCAGGGATGGATGGATCCAGCGTTGCCAGTTGTCCGGCTCGAACAAGTCCTCGTATTTTCGACAAAGGTGATATGTCGCAGTCACGAGTCTGCGATGGACTGTTCTGCCTGAGAGTAATCTGGAGTCATGTGACGGCTGACACGCCATGACCTCTGCATGTTCGACCCGTTTCCTGCCTCAGCGGCATTTCCATGGAAAGTTCAGCCGTGTTTGAGCTGCACGTTCTGTCTTGCTGGAGCTTAGCGCTTTCATTCATGAGTTCAGGCTTTTGAATGCCGTGTTTGGACGGTGAGAGAGGGGTTTGTATGAAGCAGCAATTTCAAATTGGGCTTGTTCCTAGAAGTCCGTTCTGGTCGAAGTATCAGAGACTGATTTTTCAAACCCTTATTGCGAGCGACTACGAACTATGTTTGCAGTGACTGGGTTGCACTTGCAATCCCAGCATTTTGCAGTCCCCGGACAAAGCTTGATTTGGCACTGAGTTCGGGGTTGCATTTCTGCCTGGGCCTTTCCGTGGCCCAGCTTCCATTTTGGATTGAGTCTCTCCGACACAGACCTCACTCCAAATGCAGCAATGCATGTTGAAATTCAGCTCAGGCTCTTTTTAAACTCTGTCTCAGCATACACTTCAACCCAACTCCCAACTCTGCTCGCTTTCGAACATGGCTCTGAACCACGTCGGCATCTGGAACTCCCAACGTCTCCGAAACACAATCCGAACATGTTCTCAAGACACTTACAGGTTTTCCAATGTTAGGCTTTCACAAAAGTATGAAACGGACACATTCCTGCACCTCGGGCAACTGTGATGTCCTTGTGGAGCGACTTTGCCGGGTGGTAATCCCACGGCTGCAGTTTCCGCTTGGGCGCGGGAGCTTTCGTCGGAGCCTCTGAAGCACGCTGCAAAAAGCTTGAATCAGTTGCGACAGGCAGCGGCTCCCAGACGCCTGTACCACCTTGGCTGGTGGCGGTTGAACAGGTGGTTCGTCATCCGACGTTTCCAGCTTGTCCCACTTGGAGTAATCAAGCACCATCTAGCAGTGCTGCAGCTACAGGAGATGTTTACGTTGTGTGGTTCATGATGCAAGCTATCTGCCGGAGTGCTAAGCTTTGGTGGTTCGCAGTCTAGCTATTCAGGCCAAACTGAGGCTCTGTTGGAGGACTCGGGTGCATGCAGTTTAAGTGGTCTGCAATTGCCATCTGTATGTCGCGTTTTGCATATTGACAAACGATCCACCAAGACTGCACAGCCTATGGTGTCATGACATCAATAAAAGCGAAAGCTTGATCAAACACAGGCGGAAGCTTGATCACTGCAGAATCCCACTATGTCCCACAACATGGCTTTGGGGGGAGCTTGACCGTCGTGCGTGACATGCATCATGCAGTAACCTGTCAAAGAGCGCACGTTCTTTCCAGCCCCGGTTGCAGAAGCCTAGCCTACTGGTTTTGCAGATTCTCTGCATCGACCCGACTTTGGTCAGCTTGTGGGAGCAGTTTCTCGATCGGTTCGCTGTCATAGTCTCATTAGTCTCCTCTTCTTCGTGACGAGAAACGACAGTTTGACAGTGGCGAGTATGGCGCCCACCCTAAATTCTTGAATCTGCGGCTGGCTCTGCGAACGAAGATTCGCAGACAGAACTGGATGAGGACGATCGGTTAAGATTCTTGCAAGTGATCTACAAAGTCCGGCAATGTCACTGACACCATGCGACACCGGTCGTCCCCGGAAAAAGCGCACGCGAAACGGCTCTTTGTCATCTCAGTGGCGCTGAAGTATTGAAAATTTCATCAAAGTCTACGAGAGCCTTGGCAAGTCCGCGACCCAGCAGCCACCACAAGGTGTCGGGCTAGGGCCTGGGCTGCGCAGCCTGACCAGTTTACAGGGCGCACGAAAACCCTTGCCACGTTGCTCAGCTTGCGTCCAACTCAGCAGATTATCTGCCAAGCTGCTGTGCGCAGTTGTTCTGATCTACACGATCAGCGAAGCAGTATAGCTGAATCTGATTTGAAGAACCTTCACGATACACTTCTGCCTGAGCAGCCCTTTCTTCTCCGTGCCAGATTCGGGTGGCAACTCCGCACACTCATCTGGTCACATGGGGCATCTCGCCACACTCTGCTTGTCTACAAGCTTTGCAAAGCAAACGGTTTCGTACATCTGTTGGCATAAACGACGCAACGACTTCATGAGCAGCATGTAGACCGCAAGGTTCGGCTCGATTGCAAGCATCCTCGTCCCAGCGATGTATCCTACATCCACGAGCAAGCGTCAAAACTGACTAGAAGTCGCTTGCACGGCGTTCGCACATCTGGGACTCAAGGCGCTGAGTTTAAAAAATGGCAGGTTGCTTCCGCATAGCCACGTGCCTCCTGTTCAAGACGATTCTACAAATAGTCAGCATGCGTTCGCAAGTCGGTGGACATGGAAGGAGGCACATGAATTCGAAAGCGAATCTGTCACTTGCTGTGCTTGAAGAAACGGGATCAAACGGGACGAGCCACTGGCCGTCAGCTTTCAGCTGAGGCAGCTGGGCCCATGTCCAGGGAGCCTAAAGCCAAGGTTAGAAGCGCACTCACAGTGGCTGGAACCTAGCTGATCTGCAGAAGGTTTTGCCGAAGCCCTTCACGATGTTGTAAGTAGTGCCCAGTGCTCCAATTGATGCCCTTAAGGCAATAAAAGGAAGCACTCGTCTCGAAACAGTGCTTTAGAATCTCCTGCAGGATAATGCCATAGGTCCAAGAGATTGCCACACGTCGAGGGATGGGCTCCGATCTTGGATGATCATCGTGCAAGAAACGACGCTTCATGTCGCCCAGGTGGCAGTTGACGGCTTCAAGAACCTCTTGGTGCCCCAGCCAGCGGTTGTAGCCAAGGCCCATGAGCAAATCTCTTTCAGTGGACTCGCCGGCCACGTACAAACCCAACCACTCAACCAAAGCGAAGGAGCCCTCAAGTGCAGAAGGCAGCCGTGCAAGCTGTTCCTTAGCGAGGGCTCTCACCTCCTCGAGCTTGCCGGGGAGGTCTCTGGCAAAGAGCAAGTTCTTGCCGGCAGCCGCAGCTATGCCTCCTGGAGCAAGCACCCCATTTCGGAAGCTGAAGAGGGCCACATCAGCATCTCCTTGCCTCAGCTTACAGGCTGCGCTGTCACGGGCTGTTGCAGACTTCTGACATATCCTATCATAAAAAACACTTGCAAAGTGCTCCAAGCCGCACAGCCAACTGGCACGACATCCCACCTCCAGACATCATTCCAGCGAAGAGCCCCGCATGCAGGCCGGGCGTGAAAGCCAGGGAATGCTGCAAAGCTTCCCACTCGGCTCTTGCCTGGGTGCTCTAAAAGCGGGAAATAAGCCCTGAAAGACCTCGCCTGCTATGTTTCTGCAGCCGACTTTGACGATTCTCGCTGTCCACGGGTTGCACTAGGTCCCCCTCCAGTTCCCGTTCCCGCAGGCTGCAACCTGGCCCTATAGCACTTCTACCATCTTCAGGAAAGGCGCCTCTTCCTGCCCACTCAACACCATGAACTGCGCACGGGGTCCCAAGCAATCCTGTACACGATCTTTGAAACGCTGCAGGCTGCTGCCGTCGAGACTGCCATCCTCCAGCGGTGCCACAGTGATCTGGAAACGCTGCAATCCCTGAACTCCCCAAGCATGCAAACGAAAAAATTTACCACCGCCTGTCTCGCAGCAGCAGTCCTGCACAGCCTCACGCACACCTGCAGTCGCTCCAAGAAGAACGGCACCATCTGGTAGCTCCTCTGCACTCTTGTTTCAATGCAAAGACTCGAAGATTCGCTTTTGAATGTCGGATGCAACACAGCCCAAGCTCAGACGGCACGTGCAGTGCATATAGACTACGGTGCTTTTACCGGTCAAACATTCTTAAGGTAAACCGAAAGGAGAGTCGGAAAGTAGTCTACACATGCTGCTACATGTATGTTGGTGCTGCTCCACGTATTTCCGCTGCCGCTGCTCCCGCTCCTCCCGCTCCTACTCCTACTCCAAGTCCTAATCCAACTGCTACTGCTACTGCAACTGCACCTGCTTCTGCTGCTGCTGTTACTGCTACTGCTGCTGCTGCTACTACTGCTACTGCTACTGCTACTGCTACTGCTACTACTACTACTACTACTACCACTACTACAACTACTACACACTACTACTACTACTACTACTACTACTACTACTACTACTACTACTACTACTACTACTACTACTACTACTACTCATCCGCAAATCGAATCACAGAGGCTACTGCATACACACTCTTTTCACATCGCCAGTGCCTTCCCAGTCTGTAGAACCCGTTACTACGGGAAATGCTTTGGTAAAACATCCGGATGAATGGGGCTAGCAAAGCCCGGGTCGACTCCGGGTTGCAAGCCCCACCCCGAACCACCACGGTTCGATATCCCCTCCGGATGCAGTCGAGAAAACTCTCGCTGCCCACCCTAAGAGAGAGGATAGCCCCACGGGGGATCGTCTCAGTAAAAGGGGAGGGAGGGCGGGCAACAAAATCCTGCCCTTTTGGCTCAACTGCCAAGGCTTGAACCAAAAGGCATGATATCGATCGCAGATGATACATGTGCACCCAAGCCTGCCAAACTCTACACATGGTATACATCCGCAAATCGAATCACAGAGGCTACTGCATACACACTCTTTTCACATCGCCAGTGCCTTCCCAGTCTGTAGAACCCGTTACTACGGGAAATGCTTTGGTAAAACATCCGGATGAATGGGGCTAGCAAAGCCCGGGTCGACTCCGGGTTGCAAGCCCCACCCCGAACCACCACGGTTCGATATCCCCTCCGGATGCAGTCGAGAAAACTCTCGCTGCCCACCCTAAGAGAGAGGATAGCCCCACGGGGGATCGTCTCAGTAAAAGGGGAGGGAGGGCGGGCAACAAAATCCTGCCCTTTTGGCTCAACTGCCAAGGCTTGAACCAAAAGGCATGATATCGATCGCAGATGATACATGTGCACCCAAGCCTGCCAAACTCTACACATGGTATACATCCGCAAATCGAATCACAGAGGCTACTGCATACACACTCTTTTCACATCGCCAGTGCCTTCCCAGTCTGTAGAACCCGTTACTACGGGAAATGCTTTGGTAAAACATCCGGATGAATGGGGCTAGCAAAGCCCGGGTCGACTCCGGGTTGCAAGCCCCACCCCGAACCACCACGGTTCGATATCCCAATGCACTGATCCCAAAGCACTTCTACAGAAACTGAAAAACCAGCATGGCCGGCACCAGAGGCAGAGACCACACCTCGGTAGGAAAAAGAGCGTGGTGAAGGCAGAAGCCGCGAGAAGCAGCCCACGGGTACGACGCACCCAATCGACTGATCGAGTCGGACCAGTTGGACTTACTGGGTACCCACTCCCAGTATACCCAAACTTGAAGAGAGAAGAGGGCCACATGAATGAGGTGTGCCAGCCGCTCGAGGTCGGGAGAATCGGAACGCCCTCGAATGAGTGCCATAAGCGCGGCTACGTTGTCAATATACCATGTGCCACGACGAGAACGAAAGGTAGAAGCCCGAGCTGTAAGGGCGAAGAGGACCATTGAGAGCTCGAGCTGCGCGATTTTAACCTCCCCCGGGAGAAAGGCATCATACGTATGCCGATCGACCTGTGCCACGAAGGCTTCGCGGCCGGGCTCGCTGCCCGGCCAGAGCAACAGGAAACCGCCCGTGCCCTTGCGCGGTTCGTCCTCCGCGGCATCGCTAGCTGCGACGAATCGGGCACAGGAGGAGGGTAGCACCTCCACGGACCGACGCGGTCGCAGCGCCAAGATGGCTCGGATAACCTCGAATGACGAGCGGATAGCTGGGGTCAACTCCCGAGCTGCCTCGTACTGGCGTTCCTTAAGGGCGCCGATGCCCCCTGTGCCAATACGGCCATACACCCCCTGTTCGAGGAAATTGAGCATGCCATACAGCTTCGACGCCAAGCCTGGAGGCAGGGAATTATCCTGCTCAGCCTGCAACAAAAGGCCCTCGACCTTGGCCTGGAGCCTGGACCGGACCCAGAACCTAACGACGTGGTGACGCCCCACGTCGCGGAAGTCCCACTCCAGCCCGAGAAAGTCGCCGACTGTGCTCATCGGCTGTCGCTTTGCCTCCGCGAAGGGGGAGCCCAAAAGTTTGTTGACCTCGGAGAAGGCGAACTGGGCTGAGCCCTTCGCAGAAGCCGGGTCGGTAAGGTGCGCATCATCGAAATACATAGAGACCAAGACACAGACGAGCCGGCGGCCCACCGCCTCGGAGAAACGGCTGAGCCGGTTGAAGCTGGTCACTGCCACAGGGAGCCCAAAGAGAAGACCGGAATATACCTGGTACGCCGGCTGGGCCCAATCCTTGTGGTACCATACCACCACGCAGGCCCTGGACTGGTCCTCGTCCATAGGGCAATGGCGATAGGCGTCCGGCCAGTCTTCGCCGCCGCCTTCCCACTGGTCTTCCTCCAGCAGGCGGCGGGCGACCGCCGGGCTGGCGCATCGCATTGCCAAGGAAACATGCTGGGCCGGGCGGAGGGCGGAGCACAACACCAACTTGTTAGAGTCAGAGCTTAACTCGCTCTGTCCTCCATGGTCCGCGTTGTCGATCACCCTCTGCTTCCCGGAAGCCTGAGAAATAACGCACCTCGGTATCAAACGAATCGGTTTGCCCTTGGTGTGGCGAAGAAGCTCCGACCAGGACAACGGTGCCGAACAAAACCCCGCTTCGAAGTCCTTGGTAGATTGCTCCAGCAAAAAGTCATCGTGTGGGCCTGGCCGAATAGATCCTTGGACAGCTTTGTTGTGGGATTCCACGTTCTCGAAAAGACGATGGAGAGGAATTGTGTCGAAGCCCTGCTGTGGGAAGACTCCGCAGGGGAGAGAGGTGCCGACCGCGGGCATGCCGAACAAAAGGTGTGAAGGGAGAGTGGTGTCCGGCCAAGATAACAGAACGACAAAGAGGCTGAGCAAGCCCAGGTCCCGCTGGGCCGTGACCTTCCGGACCGCCGGAGTCTGGAGCTTACGCAGGTGGTCCCCCACATGGCTCCAACGGCGCTTCAACTCCCGAAGCGGGCCGACACACTCGCGCCTCAACTCGCGAAGGCGGCCAAGAGACCCGACAGTCATCGCTGCCGCAAAGTGGAGGTCTTGGTCCAAGACCGGAGGGTGTTCTGTAGGCAAGGGGTCGTCCCCCCTAGCCAAAGCCTGCCGGAAGTGCTCATCCGGGGACAGGCCGAAGGGGAGGAGGGGGGGGAGCGCCGCCCTCCCTGAAAGCGCCCCCGCTTGCTGACCCTCCGCTGTGCGCTGCATCAACCTGCAGGCGGGGTCAGAAAGAGAAGGGCCCAACGCGCCATCCCAGTGAAGCCCTTGTTCCCGCAGCCACTGGGGGAAAAGAGTGAAAGGAGGACTGTTCACCAGGTCCTCGATGAAAGGAAAGACGAAGCCACGGAAGGCCGAGGAAGGGAACAGGCTGCGGAAAGCCGTGATGACAGACTCCTGCGGGGAGTAGGGAATAACGTGGGCGACAGAGGCCGGTATCTGGGTGAAGGCGGCCCACGCAGCACTCCATGCCGGGGCTGGTCGACCCTGCCAGCTGCCTCCACTCCGGCTCGAGGCCTGGCCGAGACGTTGAACAGCAGGTTCCGGCTGCACAGGGCTATGCCTCCCCGTTGTTCCGGGGTTCGATCCATACAAGTAATCTGCAAATGGATCGTCGGGAATTGGCCACTGGTTTCCCGCAGCGGCAAGCCGGACAGGAAAAGACGCCCTCCTGCCGGCGATTCCCAAATACAGGTGGGGCGCTGGACTGGGCGCCTGCCCGCCAAATTGTCGAAGACCGCCTGGTTCTCAGCCTCTGTGGGGTCCGGCGCGGGCGGGGTCCTGAAGGCCTTGGGCATAGCTTTGATTTTCGGGGCAGGCTGCCTGAGCCCCGACCCGTGGAGCCTGTAGCTGCTGCCGTGTCAACCCGGCGTGCCGGAGCCGGTGCGCGCGGGGACCCACACCTGCTCCTGCCCCCCCAAGGTAACGCCCCGTGAGGCGAAGCCAGGGGAAGCGGGCGAGCCACGTCACCACCTGGCGCCGCCCTCCTTCTGGAGTCTCGCCGGCCATCACCTTCGGCCGGTGCGTCGGCCGGACGTCGGCCGGACGCCGTCGGGAAGCAGGCGCTGGCTCAGGCGATTGTCCGGGGACGACATAGCCGGGAGGTAGGCCATATTTCTTTGTGCGGCAGTCCAGGGCCGCATGCTTCCCACCGCAGACTCTGTCTGTAGAGAGCTTGGTGGCAGCGCACCTATGAAGGAAAGGGCAGTCGGATCCCCGCCGGCAGTTACCCAAATTGAAGCCGGTGCACAGCCGGCCGCCGTCCTTGAAGTTCTGCGACGTCTTGTGGCGACCAATGTAGGGCGGCATGGGGGAACCAGGTGCGGGCACCTCCGCAGCAGCCGAGCTGGGCCGGGCCGAGCTGCTCGCCACTGCTTTAGGTTCCGCCCTGCGCTTCGACCGCAGCTTCGCAAGAGGTAGCACCCGGCCGGCCAAAGACTTGTGTGCAAGAGGGGCAGCCAACCTCATGGTAAACTTCTTGGGCTTGTGCGCGGCGAAGGCGGGTCCCTGCCACAGGAGCTCCTTGTCAGCCCTGACCTGTGATTCGCAGAGGGACTGGGCCAAAGTCGTGTGCTCCGCGACGTCCTGCGGGGTCACCGCATCCCACGTCGGATAGGGGCGCAACTCTCCCATGTAGGCCCACACCAAGTGCTTGACCCGAACGCTCTCCTTGTAGCGCAACCCACTGTAGTGGACGGGCATGGCACTCCTCTGGTCAGAGACTCGATCTTGCCAGTCCCCAAGGGCGTTCGACTCGCCCGGCGAAAGCTGCGCCAGCATAGCCACAGAAGGACCCAACCGGCGCCAGCTATAGGAGGTCAGCTCCTCCGGATTGGCCACCACGTCCGTGAAAGCCGCCTGCACGGCCAGGGTAGACTCCCTGAGGGACCACGAGAAGCCCCGAGCATCGAAGCATAGCCCGCACTGGCTCCGCCGGCCTTTGGGCAGGGCCTCGAAGGCTTCTTTCCAGGGCTCGGTCCAGTTCCATCCAGAAGCAAAGGCGGCCGGAATGGCAAAGTAAAAACCCTGCCGCAGGCGGCGCTGCTTGCCCTTGTTGCAGAAAGCATGCACGGTCGACCCCGTGATGCGCAGGACCTCGCTCCTGCGAAGGTGGGCATACCGCATACAGCTGGAGGCCTGCATCCATTGCCCCAGCATCGCAGTCCACCGAGGGTCGCCCATAATGCACCGGTCCTCAATAACCTTCTCCAGGTGGACCAGCATCGGCGGTTCGGCCAAGGTGGCCTGCCGCTCGTCCCTGGGCTTTCGGCGCTGCTCGGTCCGGGGTGCATCCGGAATCTTCCAGGTGAGCTCCGCTTGCTTGGCAGCCCACCGCAAGCCCGCCACGGCACGATGAGGAGCGGCCGAGTTGAAGATGAAGGCGTCCAGGTCCAGGGTGTCCACCTCTTCCAGCCCGTCTCTGCCCCGGGCAACCTGGAAATGCTGAAGCTCGCGGAGGGAGACCACGGCCTTCTTGATCGTGGCCACTTCCGCTTCGCTGCACACTTTGGCAGCACGGCGCCTCACAAAGTTCTCCCACTCGGCTTGGCGTCCCGCGTTGAGCTCACCGCTCGGGCGCTGAACCTTGGCATCTACCCAAAGGTCGGCGAGTTCCTCGACCAATGGTGTCTCCAAGGCAGCGCGCTCCACAGGCGTACGGGCTTGCAGCGGTGCCTTGGGCACGGCTGCCCGCCGCCGCGGCAAAGGCGGGCGAGGCTTAGCTTGTGGAAGGTTTGGCCGCCGCCGCTCCAGCTTGGGCTGCCTCATGTGCGAAAGCCAGAGCCTTGCCCTCGTCCACTCGCTCGCGGACTTCGCGCCATTTGGCTGCGATTTCTGCTCCAGCTTGCCTCTGCGCCTCTTCCGCCGACATAAAGACGTAGGCGAACTCCTCGTCATCGGCCAGGCCAAAGGCGCGGCGCCAAGCCTCCACTCGGACCTCTACCGGGGTACCCTCCCCGAAGAGTCCGGAGGACGGGCCGGGCTGGCTATCGCCATCTCCTGCCGCCTCGAGCGACTGCTGGGCATACACACCGGCCATCGCAGCTGCTAGCAGAGGCCTGAGCCGAGAAGCCGCCGTGGAAGCTGATCGCGAAGGCCGGGCAACAGCAGAAGCAGAGCAGGAGAGGGACTCAAGACCGGGCGGGTCGCCACCGCCGAAGACAGCCCCAGGTCCACTCCTGGGTGCAGCCCTAGTCCTAGGGCATCGAGGGTCGCCACCCCGGTATAAAAACATGCCTGCGGTCTCCGCCGCGGCCGCCGGCTCCTGCCGGTCATAATAAAGGGAACGCCCCTTCCAGAACCGCCCACCATCATATGCACCGAATGCAGCGGCCCAGGCAGTCTCCACAAGCCGCTGCGTCACACCGCCGACAGCGGAAGACGGTTGGCACCCCGCAGCTGTGGCAGGCTGCTGGCAATAATCCCGGCCCGTAAGCCACGGCCCCAAGCCACAGCCAGATGGTCCTGTGCGCCCTTGATCTTTCATCCTCCCGGCCAGCCTCCCAAGAAGGGACCTCGACTCCGGGCTCGATCCACACCCGGCTCCCAGCTTGCCACCGTCGGAAAACAATCCAGAGCTCGGCTGAGCTGGCTGCCCGAGGGTGGGTCTGCTCTGCCACCCGAGAAAAGAGCGCGTAGAGGTGGTTCGGCAGCAAGTCGGTAGGCCAAAGGCCCGAATGTAGGGCCGTGATATCGCCCGGCGACAAATAGGAGCGGCATGCATGGTAAGCACTCCACGCTTGAGCCGGGTCACTCCCTGGGCGGACAATCGCTGCTGCATGTGTGAATGTACCCACAAAAGGCAGCTGGAACCCTCCACGGCTCTGGGCGCACCGGGCACAGTCCGTGACGACACACGGGACCGTGCGGATAGGTGGCAGACCTGCAGGTAATCCGTCGAGCAGTGGAGGGGGAGGAGGGTAATGTTGGATCTCAAGGGCTGAGGCCCACAGCCTGGCAGCATCCTCATTCCGACCCTCGGAAACCAAAAGCCGAAGCTGAGCCCTGAGATCCAGCATTGCCGCTGGGTGCAACACCTGGGCCTCGGTATGCACAGCGAAGCGGCTGAAAACGTAGGCAAAGACCTCAGGTGACTCCTGATCAAAGACATGTGCCATAATAAGCGGGTCGACTCCGCGAGCTAATGGCAACAAAATCCTGCCCTTTTGGCTCAACTGCCAAGGCTTGAACCAAAAGGCATGATATCGATCGCAGATGATACATGTGCACCCAAGCCTGCCAAACTCTACACATGGTATAACTACTACTACTACTACTACTACTACTACTACTACTACTACTACTACTACTACTACTACTACTACTACTACTTCTACTACTACTACTACTACGACTACTACGACGACGACGACTACTACTACTACTACTACTACGACTACGACGACGACGACGACTACTACTACTACTACTACTACTAGTACTAGTGCGACTACTACGACTGATACTGCTACTTGTGGGGCTGTTGAAGCATCCGCCAAGCTGGGCAATTCGCCTCATCAACACCCTGGTCTGTGCTCTCTGCCCGCAGCTCTGCTGATTTCGGTTCTACTTGCACTGAACAACGTACCGGAGTTGCATACTGAAGTGCCAGTGCCAAATTCGGCGGTGTGGGTGCATGGGCCATCTGCTTTCATGGCTTGGCAGTTGACGCACATCAGTATGCAGACATTGACATGTGAATATCTGGAATGTGAACTTTCAGTGCTTGGCATGCTGCAACATACGAAGATGCGTAGCCTGCGATGTGCTGGAATGTACAGAGATGATATGTGTATACACATGTGTCAATATCTAAGTCTATACACACACACACACATGTACTTCTGCATGGATAGATGGATTCCAACAGCATCAGAATGTCCGAAGGCTGACAAAACCGTCAAAAGCTGAAGATCGTACAACATCGCGAAGCTATCTTTCACGTGACTGCCACCGTCTATGTGCTCAAGAGCCCATGCTCGATACTACTGAAAACGGCAACCCTCCTGCAGAACATACTTCACCGACCGTGATTGATTGATTAACTGCTTGACTGCTATGGGTGCGAACACCCTTGCATTGTCAAGGCAACAGAGGCTGCTCCGTGGCTGTGCGTGAAGCGCAACAACGTAAATTGCTTCCCTAAATCTCCTGTTCAAGCAAGCGCAGCAGATTCTCCAGGCGAAGCTCATCCTGCAATGCCGACGCAAGTGCCTCACCTGCGACGAATCAAGGGCACCAGCATGAGGTCTCAACGAAAGTACGAACACGCGACCGGCTACTGGCGGACGCGATCCAACTGAAAATCAACGCACGACATGGCGTGCCTTGAAACTTCACTAAGCTGCTCCGATGCCGCACGAGGCGACCCAGATCCCCAACCGAAAGCAGGAAAACGACGACCACGGCAAGCGGCCACGACCACGATCCAGCAGCAGCAGCAGCAGCAGCAGAGGCAACGACACGGAAAATGAGAAGCGCACAAACCACAAGCACAACGACAACGTCACAAAAAAAGCAAGAATAACATGACGCTGAGAGTGCTAAGTAACTGCCAACACGACCACAGCCGCCAGCACCACCTCAAGAATGAGAATGTCTAAGCAGCAGCAGCAGCAGCAGCAGCAGCAGCAGCAGGAGCAGCAGCAGCAGAAGCAGAAGCAGAAGCAGAAGCAGAAGCAGAAGCAGAAGCAGAAGCAGCAGCAACCAACACGAACAGCAACAGCCCCAGCAGCTGCAGCAGCAGCAGCAAACAATAACAATAACAATAACGACAACAACACCAACAACTGCAACGCAACGGCAACGGCAACAGCAGCAGCAGCACCAGCAGAGTGCCTTCATCACCCATACAATCATGATCCTCATCACCGTCATCATCCTCCTCCTCATCATCATCAGCTTATTCTTCATCATCAGCAGCAGCACCATCACGGCACGCGTGGGCATTGCCATGACACTGGTGTGCACCTCTCCAAGAAGACTTCTCCCAGGAGACATGCGACTTGCCATCGTCTTGGAAGAAGAGCGCCCGGGTAGAGCCACTCCCACAGTCCACCAAGGTGATCTTTTCAGACTGTCGCAGAAGAAGGGGTGGCATCGGCGGCAGAAGGCCAAAGTCTCTCTGGGATAGCGTTGGCAAGTTCTCGAAATTCTGCACTTCGAGCTTCCGCTGTGCTCTTCTCGCACCTCCTTGCTGGGCCTTTCTAGGCAGCAGCATTTTCACTGCATGTCCCACGGATAGAAAGCCTTAGGATTTCATGGCATGGGCAAGGACGATCTTCGCCGACCGACTGCAACTCAGCCCTGCGCTTGCCATTGATAGACAAGTCGTGCCAGACATGCCTCCCCGGCCAAAGTAGCGACTTGCAAAGTGCAAGCAAACAACGTGTCACGCCGGCCTCCTCGCTTCTGAGCTGTTCGAGTGAATCCCCATCGAGACGGCGCCGGAGCAACCTCACTTCAGCGACTGGCAAAAACACAGACAACAGCAGCACAAAGGGAATTCAACTGCGGTAGTTGCAGTGGCAGCGGCAAGCACAACACAAGCATCGCTCCTAGCGACTGCCACTGACATAATGGTGCTGCTGCTACTCCGACAAAATGCCACAGCAGCAAAACCGAAAAATTCACTTTTTGCATGCAGTAGCCTCAGTGATTGCCAAGGTGCTGCGCTCAGAGGCGGATGATTGGCCAAGCGCAGCATGCTCTTGAAACAATGTGATCTTAATAACCTTTTGTGGAAAAACCAGCGGCATCTAACTTGACCGTAGATGAAACTCATTCGCGGAGCAGCCGTGGCCTGCTTCTTGGATCTTACAGGGTTTTGCTTGGAGCTGCCAGTCTGCAACCGCTTAGATTCCATATGCGAAGGGCAGTTCCCTTGCCTGTGCCTCTGCAACTACGAGCTACGATGAGCTGCGGCAACTCTTTCAGTCCGAGGCATGTGAAGGCTCTTCACTCTCTTCCGTCAGAGGGATTGGACGTAGAGTGCAGCCCGTCCTTTTTTCCATGGCTCTCCATCACCATCGCCACAGGGGCTTGCAGGTGCATAACTCTGTAGAAGTGGGCGGTGACCAGACGTGCTTCGTCTGCAAGGCCTGTTATTAGCTTTGAATGCTCGGAGCAAATCTGCATTTGTTTGTGGGTCGCACGTCCCAAAATCTTTGCCGCCAAGCTCACACTGCACTGGAGTTGCACCCTGTCACAAGTCGGAAAACGGGAGATGGGGAGAAGGTTTGAAAGGTCGGGGAAAGTCAGGCTCGGCCTGTACTCTCGCCGCAAGAGATTTTCACTCGGCGGTCTGTCTTAATCGATGGGCATGGTGCAGCAGTGAGTTCTAGTTTTTTTGGGGGTTCTCATCTGCCCCGATACAAACGAGAAGGCAACAGCGATTTCAACTAACAGCGGGCAACTGAATAAGATGTAACTAGTATTTGCATCTCCTGCCGCTTGGATGCAGACTGCTTTGAGTTATGGAACCACCAGCCGGTTCAGCACTCAAGGACACACCACCTGAATCATCAGGCACATGCAGCTGGCGCGAACCTCAAACGGCAGCGAGAATCTGAGAGCATGGCAACCTTCATGAGGTTGGACTGACCTTCGACAAGAGGTGCGTAATTCAGCTGAATGCAACCTCTGCCTTTCTTGCAGGTTGCTGTCCTTCAGTGGACTGATATTTGCGTTAATATGGCACTGTACGGCCCCTTCAAACATCTCGGGCACTGCTTGGGCGAGCGGCAAGCAGCACAGCAACTGAGGAAAGCTCAAGTGTGAGACGTGCCAGAAAACAAACAGCAAACAGAGTCACGCCAAAAACAATCTCAGTAGATTCTTCGAACATTGCGATTGTGAGTTCTATTACAAGGTCCTTGTGAAGGCGCTTGGAACGACAGTCTCTGACAATGCTACCAGACTTCTAGAACATATATATATATATATATATACATACATACATACATAAATACACTGATAGTAAAGCAAGAACTAATTCCAGCCACGGCCCTGCCTCAACCATCATCCTCGCTACGATTTACCGCTTCCCTGCAAGCATAATGCGATTATCATTGGTATCAGATAGTATCAGTAGTCATTAGTCTGAGTGGCAGCTCGATTATTCTGCCAAAGTGCCGCACAGCCCATGTTCCCTTCTGTTGGCATTCATTTCTTGACCACGGCCAGTGATATCAATACTAAAGCAGACTGCTGCCGAATTGCATCTGACAGCTGTAGGGAATACATCGGACGAGGTGGGGGGATGTCCCAAACGAACCCTAAACCCTAAAATCCTAAACCGTAAACACGAAGCCCAAAACCCTAAAACCCTAATGAGATCCTTTGGCCCCGGCCTGGACACTCCTCCCGCTGACCATGGATCGCCACCACCGTGTCTCCGGGCTTGACCATGCCCAGCTCCTACAGCGCGAGCCAGTGGAAGTGGGCTTAGGGCTTCTGAACTACTACGACTACTACTACTACTACTACTGCTGCTGCTGCTACTACTACTACTACTACTCCTGCTGCTGCTGCTGCTGCTGCTGCTACTGCTACTGCTACTGCTACTGCGACTGCGACTGCGACTGCTACTACTACTACTACTACTACTACTACTACTACTACTACTACTACTACTACTACTACTACTACTACTACTACTACGTACTGCTTGCTACTCGACAACTACGATGAGGAAGACCCCGGCAAAGGGATAATCACGATTGAACTCTGAACGGCTGTTGAAAACATGCCAATGCTACTTTGCCACTATTTCTATTGTTCCTGCTTCTTCTTACTGGTCGTAGCGACTTCCTTCGATAGGTACAGGAACGGTAGCATGATTGCAGCGGGTGTGTCGAACTGGGCTGAGCTTCGCTTACAGCCCTGAACCCCTGCCTTGGCTCGCACGAGAGCCTTGTTGATCACCGAGTCTGTTCCCTGGAAGGAAGCTGTCAGGATTGGAACCACCTGGAAGCAGCCATTGGTGTACGGGGCCTTAGGTTTAGGGGGTTTGTACGGATTGGGATTTGGGTTTAGGGTATGGATCAGACATGCATTCAGTCAATGGTTCAGTAGCAGTTTTGCTTTGGCACCCACACCCTGCCATGCTAGAAAACCAAAGTTTGATCCCATACTTGTTCGCTACACTTCCCCAAACCCTAAACCCTGAACCTAAATCCACCCAACTCGCCGGAATCGGCCGTGCACTGCCTGTTAAACTGCGTTGCAGCTCTACCTTCCGTTTTGAGATCCGGCGCTCCTTCCTTTGCGGTGTTTTGACTTGCCACTCCTGCTTCTTCTGTAGGACTTTACCACTCACCAGCCATCTTGGGGTTCAGAGTCTGGCACTCCTTACGGCTTTTTGGATGATGACATGCTGCCCATTCTGCTTTTGCTCATCTGGGGTGTTTAGGGTTTGCTGCTCAACGGTACACCCTCGTTGCAGTTGTAGGCTGGCGAAGCTCTGTCCCTTCAGGCACATACGTACGTTGCGGGCACGTACACACATGCATTCCTGCAAAGATGTACACCTGAACCTTTGCAGACTGCTTCGGCAACGATTTTTAAACATGCGGATCTTTAAGTTTCTGAACTGTCTTGTAGCCGTCGGGCCCGGGCCGCCAAGTTTACAAAGGGTGAACCCGGTGGACTTTTAAACATGCGGGAAACTTCAAACAGAACTTCTATACTACCTCCGTGCCCTTCGTGGTCCCGCTACCCTCCACTGATCGAAAAAACTCCACCGTAGTATCCATGACAATTCCTGCATGGATCCTTCTCGAATCTGATTAAGATCCTTCTCAACTTGGCTCTAAACCCCCAGATCCCTCAGAACAAAACAGTTCCTAGCATTGCAAGACAAGTTTCAGAAGCCTAGCTCCCTCAAGATTTTCAGTTTAGCCCTGATGTTGTCGGCCCCCGTCCGCTAAAAAACCAGCCCAGGGACTCCGCGATGCGCCACAAGCTGACGCAAAGTAGTCTCACTGGCCGTGATCGCCTGCTGTGCTTGTCACAACGAAGCGGGCTGAAAGCTCCAGTAATTCGTCAAGCGGCAAGGATGGGAACAGATGGGCGGTACTTGGAGATGACTCGGGCTGTGCTTCCGGTCTCTGTCAGGGAGATGATGAGCTTGCCTCAATGGACGGAGAGAGACTTGAACCGGAAGCACATTCATTTCGTTCTAGCCCTTCTCTCTCACAGCTTTGCTCTGCAGCGTGGAGAAGATCTTGCGAGGTAAGTGCAGTGGGCTGTCTGACAAGCAATTCGTGCAGAGCTGCATCCTGAATCCACAACCGTCTTCACGGCTGAAGAGCAAACGGACTCGACCTCAGACCACATGCAGGCATCCATCCTCTCCACAAGGATAAGATGTCTGCTGGCATAGTCTGGATCACTGCAAAATGTAGGTCCAGCACGGGGCACATGGCGTGCTCCGTCTCCAACACAGCCAGTCTCATTCGCAGGTACAAGGCCTCTCTGACAGGCAGAATTCACGAAGAGTTCGAGCAGCCTTGCTCTCCAGCTGCACCAGGCCTCGTAGTCAATGACTGCCTCTGCTTGCTCGCAGATTCTCCGCATTGTCATCACGGCCGCCTCTGGAAACTTGCCGTTGGCAGTTTCTCCAGACAGCATAACGACATCGGTGCCATCCAGAACGGCGTTGAGCACCTTCGATTCTGCACTATCACAAAGCGAAGGCCAAAGTTTGACTAAGGCTGCCGAGCTGCGTCAGTGGCCTCGGCACGAGTCGGTCTCGGGGCACGCTCCATCGAGTCCAGCATCTGGGTGGCGGTGACTGCGAACTTGCCTTGCCCCCGACGCAGCTCGTGTTACTTGTGTGTAACTTTAGCCCCGACAGCTTGACGGGGGAGGCTCCACAAGGCCAAACGAGCGGATCCAACAGACTAAACCATGCACAACATTGAGGCCGTGGAGCCCATGAGGTTGCATTTCGCGATGATCATCTTCCTCGACAGTGAAGGCAGGCAGGCAACAAGCGTGAAATCCGGGGAGGGGCAAGGTTGGTCTTTGCAAGGCATCCTTGGACCATGTGGATCGCTTAGCCCGTCGGCTGGGATTTGCACATGTACAAATGTTTGAACTATATATATATATATACATATATATATATATATGTATATACAGATTGTATATGTATCTCTCTCTCTCTCTCTCCCCAAGTAACTGTCTATTCATCTACCTCTCTCTCTCTCTCTATGTTTGCTGTGTCAGGCAGTGCGGTGTTGACACCACATCTCCTGTACAGTGCAGCAGCCGATTGCCTTTGGCAAAGGGGTGGGATGGCGATTTCCTCAACCCGAGCCACAGTGTGCTTGTTAGTCCGGTTTAGCACTCTTCCTTCCCGGCTAGCCCCACAGCTACCCCGACGACCTGAACAGGAAGCATAACACTCGCTCCGCAATCCCCTAATTGATCACGGTCTTCTGGCCGGCTGGAACTCTACGATCTCTCTTATCGCGGAGAACATTGAAGCTGCACTGTGTGCCAGCAGAGCTTCTGCACCAGGCCCACTTTCTCGATGTCAATCTCCATACCCATATCGCCACCTGAGACACACAACAAGACCAAGCAGTCCTGCCAGGCAGGCAAAGCCCTTCCCCGTTGCCGAGACAATGGCGGGCAACCATGACCCCATCAGTCGCTTTGACAATCTCATCGATGTTGTTGATGCCTTCCTGGTTCTCGATCTTCCTGGGCGCAGTCACACATGGCAAATAGTGTCCCGACATGATGCAAAACTTCGATCTGCATTGTGAAAAGCACAAGAACTAGGACGAGTTTCGAGATGATCTTGATGGTGCGACCGCGCATTCCCAGTGTGTCTCGAATGAGCTTCACGTCTGCTGCATCCTGAGCACTCTCAGTCAGCTGCATGAAAGCTATCGCTTCACATCAGATCAGGTTGTTTAACTGCAGTGTGGCTCGGCTTCTCGATTCTTCCTACTCTTGCAGCGCACCTGGCACAGCAAAACTAGATACGGATGCCTGCACGAAGCTGGCGGCGATGAAGTCCACGCCCTCACATGCTCTGAGACTGAGGTAGGCAAACTTCCTATTGACGGAGCTTAAGGCAAGTTCATGCTCATCTTCCCCTAGTCGCCTGTGGAATGCCGAACTCAAGCAGGTCCTTCTTGTCCTTCTCCTTCCAAGGCTAGCTTGGCACAGAGAGACGCGGTAATGTGAAGGACTTGATGGCAGTCTGGCCTGAAGCACCGGCAGCTCAACTTTGACACCCGGAAGATTCATGTTCTTCTTCTCGCCGATGGCGATGTCGTTCAACACCTAACAGGCCGCTGAAAAAGTTTCTCCACGGGCTGCACAGCGTTGGATATGTGTTTATTCTACGGCGCTACGATTTTGCTACAAACTCGATCCGGCTGCGCCTCGGTAATGACGTGGTCACTTCCACAGCTCTTGACTTTCAAGGAGAGCGATCCATCCGCGGCAAGGATGATCTGACCTGCTCTCCCATGTGCAGCCGCTCGATGCCGACAAGTATCTCTTGGAGGGGACAAGTCCGACCCTTGGCCCTGCCTGGCTTCACAGCCGTAGGCAGTGTCGCATACGACACCGCCAGCGTTTTGTCGTCACCCTGATGGCATGATGTCACTCATGGACTTAAGAATGTAATTCTGCCCTTTCCCACGCTGACCACGTAGAAAGTGCAGTGCGGCACATGCGTCATCGCTTCGAACACAAACGCTGTGTTTCCAGAGGCTTGGTGCTTGCAGCTTTCCTTTTCCCAATGCCCCGAGAACCCAGAACGCAGGTACACCTGCCTGCCGTGACTGTCGCACTACAAAGCCAATACACAGCAACGATAGAACATGCAGTCTCTCACCTGATGAATAGCTGTAGCTGCAAGGCCGCTGCCAGGGCTGGACCGGTCTGGATATTCTGGATATGTGCGAATTCGGTCTTTGACGTAGATTGATCTTCCGGCCTTGAAGCTGTAGTCTGTCACCAACTTCAGGTCCTGGCCTTCCTTCAGATTGATCTTCCCACCTGCAAGCTCCTCCTGTTTCAAGGACGCCGGGGCTGAAAGACCTTCTTTTAACGATCCCCACCAAGGCAAGAAAGCCATTGAAGGGCAACTTCTCAGTCCTTGAAGAAGCCGGTGCGGATCTCGGGTCCCTGGCGAGGGGACGGATCCCAAGACGTGGCTGTTCCGGACAGCTGTTAGGACCACCCATAGTAATCATAAAATACAATGCAACATGATATGTCATAGTACAATGTAATATAGTATAACATGATATGGCCCGGTATCTCGAACAAACGTGACATTGGCCTTGGTGTCCAGCAGGATTCCCACCGGCTTGTCTGGACGCAGCTTCGAAGCCTTTCCGAGTGTAGCTGGCACATGTGGTAGTATTGTACCATCTAGTACCACCATAACATAGTATAGTATTGTAGAATATAGTGTAGCAGTGTAGCAAACGATGTACAGTACATTGTACATTCCTTCTACTTTACAATATACACAAACATACATATATATATATATATATATATTTCTATAACAACTTCAATCCGAGGACAGACCCCGTTCCAGAGCCTCGCGGACTCGGCCGACAGTTTTGCCGTGTGCCTCAAAGGTCACATGGCTGTTATGTTGTCACTTTCGGGCAGGCTCCAAAGCAGGGAGTTGCCTCGTGGTCTCCATGGGAGAAGTTCAGGCGAGCAATGTTCATGCCCTGATCCTCGGAGACTTGCTGTTCATTCCCTCGTCCACATCTTGCTGCAATAAACAACTCCTTCGACAAGCAACGCCGGGAAGCTCGTGGTGCCCGCGCAGCCATAATGTCTTACAGTTCTCTCAAGCCTTTCTCAGCCAGCCCCCCTACGGCACATCCGGGCAGCTAGCGGACCGAGCTGAGCAATGGGTGTTGAATCAGAGGGCACGGAAAGGTTGTCAAAGCCTAGTTACCGAGGTAGGGTAAGCAATGCAAGCAAGGCTCGATAAGCTTGGTAAGCATGTCAACTTCCCAACAGCACGGTCCCATTGTGCAGATGATCTTGCACTTGCCTGCAGGCCCGCCGCAGCAAACACGCGGTAAACGAACCGCGACGGCAATGAGATGGTCGGTTTTACCAAGTTGCGATTGAAAGTGTCGGGCTTTGGAGGCTCCAATGAAATCATCGCGGCTCGGGTGGCCGGGTCATTCAGCAACCTCAGAAAGCGAAGAGATCTTCGACAGAGACACCAAAAGACTCCCCCGCCATAGCCGGGAAAAGCCCCCTGTAGAGGCAAGCGGCAGCGCTGACTGTTGGTACATGGCTTCTGTTTTGTCAGAGGGAAGGAGCTATGTTATTGGACCGTCTCGGTGCAAGCCAAACTTCGGAAGAGAAGCAGAGCATGCTAGTAAGCATACGGCAATGAGCTCCAAAGCAGCCGGCTCTTGCAAGGTTCAGCCCTTTTTCCTGCTCCTGTCTTCTTGTCCTGGAGATGGAGCAGGATGCTAGGCGGCGGTGGGTTTCTCACGCCTTGGGAGCGATCCCCGACGACACCTCTGTTGAACCCGCAAAGCTGAGATTCAGACCGTGAAGTTGAAGAATTGCAGGATTGAGGCTTCAGAAGGAAACGCTGGCCTGGCAGAACTGCCTACGCTCGTTTCGAGAACTGGCTGCTGGATTCTAGCACGAGCAATGAGCCCTTCCATGCTAGAGCCAGCTCAAGGCGGCCTTAATGGCAGCCAGGACCCTCGAAGCAGAAGGTACGTAAAATTCCTGACAGCTGGCAGCCAGAGAATGCTGCGCAGGTGTACTAAACAAGCACAGCAGGGAGAGTTTGCTGCTACGAGTAGCAGTGGCGCAAACGCAAGCGCACGCCCCATCAGTACATTTTGCAATTGATGGCCAATTGATGGCATCGCCGCCTCCCAGGCATAGGGGAAGTGGGTGTCAAAACCTGCAGCTCGAGCCATGACAGAGTGTCCGTGTGACTCATCATCAGATGCTTGCCCTGCAGCTGGAAGAGTAGGCCCCGGACCGCATACTCTCTGGATTGGGCTTTCTAGGTGAAGAAAGCAGCGCTCCTGCTCAGACTGTTTGCTACCAGCTTCGCCCGCCAGCGACGCAGCAGCTGGATACGAACATACCCTCCTGGATTTTGGCGGCAATCTCTGCACCGAAGCCATTTGTTTGGGGGGCCTTGGTCCAGCAGGGTCCAGGCATCCGAGCAGGTTCCTCAGAGCTGTCGCCGAGCTCGCCGCCTCATGGGCGATTATCAACCGCCCGGTCTTCTGAACGGAGGCCTGGCAGGCAACAGCTGCGGTTGCTTAACAGTGCGACAGAGATCCACTGTCCTTCACGAGGCTGCGAGCTGTAACAGCGCAACATCGAATTTCCTGCGCCCGAAACCTGAAGTCCTGCCCTCGGCATGTCTCCCTGTGTCACTCACGGCGGACAGACTTGCCAGGATGAGTCATAAGCAGCAGCGCACCGAATTTCAGTCTTAACTTCGACGTATGTTGCAGGGATTCGCCACAGTTTAAATCCGTGCAGATGAATCCTTCCCAAAATTTAACGGAGCACACGGCAGCAACGGCCTGCACAGTATCTGCATCCCAAGGAATGATCGTCTGCAGGTCGATGATCTCACAGCGATTTCAGGAGGTATCACATGCAGTGCAAACATTCTCCGGCAGCTCAAACAGATGCCACAACATTGGTAATCTTGGTTCAAGCTCCCTGAAACCAAAAAAACATTACAGACCCTGAGTCCGAAAACTCGAAGGCCTTAAACCCCAAACCGGAATACGAAAACGAGCCGCCTCGCAGGAAATGCCTTCTTCCGCTGCCTTAGCAGCCGCCGCCTGCGCTGTAACAGTGGTCAAAACCGCTCTCCCTGCCCTCTCTTTGATTTTAAGAGCACACTCAAGTGACACGCATGTGGCTGGTGAAGATCGCCTGCAGCCGACCAATCTGCGACCCCCATCCAAGAAGAGTCACCTGGAAAAGCTGGCCGCAGCTGAACAACTTGGGAACTCAAGCATTGTGGCAATTGCGGCCAGGAGTCATCAGTTCCTTCTTGCACGATTTCGGCCTGCCCAATGGGAAGCTCGTAGTCTTCGACGGGCACCTGGCCGTCGGGTCCTCAAGGGGCCAAGGGCCAGGCAACAGGCAAGTGCCTCCCAGTAAGAGATGACATGTGCTTTCATGGAAAGTACGACCTGCACGGAGAGGCATAGACATACGTAGTAAGAACAGATGTGTGCTTGCATACATATGTACATACATACATATGTGCATATATATATATATATATATATATATATATATATATACATATATATATATATATATATATATATATGTATGTGTATATATATATATGTATATGTATATATATATATATATATATATATGTATATATATGAAAAATCAAATACGCTTGTTGATTTGCATGTTGCTAAACAGTGTGGCAACAAGAAGGGGCTCTTCCGTTCAGGATTAAAGAGAATTGATCACGGTGGCACCGCTGCATCGACGCCAAGATGACTCCCCGTGTCCATTTTCTTACAGCACAGGATGCGGTGCAAATATGGTACCTGTGTCCTTATTGATCCGTGCAGGGCCCGTCTCCCGCTGCGGTACGGTGCACAGCTTTCGCCGGTGTCGTGTTATTTGCAACGAATCCGCGCGGCTGCATGCACCGGCGGGTCGGATTCAGTAACACATGGACCATTTTTTGGCTGTTGGGGAAACGAGAGCTGTCCTCAGTTAAGACAGGGAAGCCTAAGCGCCGTGTTCTCCAATCCCGCCAGTACTTTAGGGAAAGCACTTTGGCCTTTCCCGGATCCGCTAGTACTAGGGGGAAGCCTTGTGGCCAGACTCGAAAAGGTCTCCTGGTCGGTCTTCTGGTAGTCTCTTGGTGGTCTCATCGTAGTCTGCTGGTGGTCTCCTGACGTCTCCTGGTGGTGGTGGCTGTTGTAGTGGTCGTCGTGGTGGTCACCATGGTCGTCGTGGTGCTCTTTTCTTTCACTTCTTGGAAATCTACGCTGGCATGATCTAATTGTTTAGTTCTTCATATTCACATACATACCCATAGACATAGACATATACGTAAACCTCTACACGTAAGGTACAATCCGCATGTACATATACATATACATATACATATATATCTACATGTAACATACGTGTCTTTTGCAAATTCATATGTACATATATATATAGACATGTACACGCATACATGTACATGTACATCTACATACCTGTAGATAGGTAGGTAAGTAGGCCGGTCGGTCGGTCGGTAGGTAGGTAAGTCGGCATGTGCGGTTTGCAGACTTCTATATCAGATCGAAGCACTGGCTTGACGATTCCTTGTTGGATTGTTGGATTAAGCAGGCTTGTCGAAGAAATCATGTCACCACCAACTCTTCTCCTTCCCTGTTGATTGAACCTATGGCTTCTTGCACGAAACTGACGGTGCCACTGGGGCTCTCTCTCCACGAAACATGTGGACGGTTCTTCGATGCAATCCTATCTTTGCAAGTCATCCCAGTGCTTGCAACCTGCCAAGCTCTGGAATCCAGCAGCTATTTAACAAAAATGCTCCGATGCAAGTTGTTGCAAGAAGACATTTCAAACATCAGACTGAAGGCAGCCAACAGCTCTGGCTGGTAAATCGAAACGTGCTCTCCTTGAATCCGTGCTCGGTACAGGACCTTCGGCTCGAAGAATAAGACCTGGATCCCGAGACGTCTGCAGGCGACTCGATGGCTCGACGGTAGGTCTAGCAAATGGTAGGTCTAGCAAATGGCTGTACAACATCCTAAACCCCAAACCATCCCAAACCCTACGTATACCATAATAGGAGTCTGAGCAGTGAAGCCATTGAGGCAAGCATCCGGATCCGGATCTCGAATGGCCGCAAGCAGCAGCCCCTTGGCCTGCTTCGGCCCTCTGGGAATCACGATCTTCAAGCCCGGACAGTGGGCAAAGTAGGACTCTACCTGAGCCGTTTCTTAATTATTACATGCATCCAGAAATCGTGTTAAATCCTTGACTGAGCATCCCGCACTTTGGCTGTGGTACATGCTTCCATGCCCCACTGCGGAGCATGGGGCCCGAATGGTAATATTTCCGGCGCCGCCGCCGGCATTGCGATACCGGTACCTGAGCTAGTGCACAGTTCTGACTCAGACGGCGAAGGGCCTGGTGCGACGGCGCCATTCACTCTCTTCATCCCGGGCTATCGTTTCCAAGGACAGCATGAGCTGGCTTCTAAAGCTTGGGGCCGCACTTCGCTATTTCATTGACAATCTGGTCAAAGGCAGGGAAGATGTAGTCGGCAAACTGAATCTCTGCGATGGCCTTGTACCCTGCTACGGACAAACCTACAGCGAAGGCCGCAATGGCTTGTTCTGCCACTGGTGCGTTTAGGACTCGGTCTTCTCCAAACTTGTCTCTCAGACCAACGGAGGCGCGGAACACACCGCCGAAGGCCACATCTTCACCAAAGAGGACCGACCTGTTGTCTGAGCTCAGAGCGATGGATAATGCATCGTTAATCGCCTGGACCATGGTTGTCTCCTTGACTTCCCCCCGAGGAACGGGAGGTAGGACCCTGGGGGCAGAGGCAGTCCGCTTTGGATCAACGGCGGGTGCAGGGCCATCAAGGCCTCTGACACTATTCATGTTATACTCGCTGCTGTACTCGCGGCAGTGCTTCTCAGCATAAGCTGCCTGTTCTTCCAAGTGCCAGGGCAAATCACTGAAGACGTCGGTGAACAACTCGCGGAGCGGTGGTTTCTTTTTTGCTTCGCCTGCTTTCATCGCCTGGATCATTTCATCTCGCGCTGCTGCTTCGACCTCTTTCGACTTCTCGTCATCCCATAGACCCTTGGATTCCAGAAACTTCTTCCAACGTGGAAGTGGGCCAACGCCCTGCAACTTTTTGACCTCTTCTTTATCCTCTTTCCGGTATGCTGAAGAATCATCAGATGTTGTGTGGTCACCTACGCGGTAGGTCATGAGCTCCAGCAATATTGGCGTTTTCTCTTCCACTGATTTCTTCCGCGCTGCCTCGGTCGCGATGTACACAGCAACCAGGTCATTTCCGTCAACACGCACCGTGGGTATTGCCAACGCTGGCCCCCGGGCAGCGATACCATCTCCCTTGTACTGGTCTTCAACTCCGGTGGAAATAGAATAGCCGTTGTTGCGGCAGATAAACAGTGTCTGCGCACCATACACAGAAGCAAAGTTCAGGCCAGTAAATGCATCACCCTCAGAGGCGGCACCGTCACCGAAGTATGTAACAGAGACTCGATCCTCCTTGTCCAGCTTGTATGCATACCCTGCTCCTGGGGCCTGTGGGATTTGAGTACCTAAAACAGCATGGACTGTCTGCATGTTCTTCTCCAGCATGCAATAGTGCACCTGTAAGTTCCGGCCCTTGCTCCGATCCCCCTCGTTGCCAATGTTCTGGTCGGCGATCTCTTGCGCTGTCAAACCTCTCCACAAGAAGGCCCCAAGCTCTCGATATTGGGGCCAAATCATGTCTTGAGGCTTCAGAGCCGCAGCTGTGCCCACACTTGTAGCTTCTTCTCCATAGTTCGTGCAGTAAAAGCTAATCCGACCCTGTCGTTGCATTGTCATCAGCACGTCATCATAAACCTTCGACTTGATCATCATTCGCATCATCTCGACCCCGTCCTCCAGTGAGAACGGAAGCTCAACTCCTGGCTCCAGCTCTCCGTCGGCATTGAGAACCCGATACACGGGGAAGGTGCTTTCTGACCCGTCTTTGAAATCCAGGTTCTTACTGAAGCTCGTAGACCGCACACCTCTCCAGAGCTGCTCCGTCGAAAAGCAGCGGACAGCAAGCCGCCCCCCCGAGGGGCTCCCCCTAGGGAGAGGGGGCACAACAAAATTGGCACCGAAACGCCTACTCACGCAGGACCTCCAGAAGGAGGGAGTTGGTCTGCGCATGGCGGGCAACAAAACTTGTCCTATACACCAAGGTTTTCCAGTTGGCCTTAGACACAGGACTCAGTGGTGTGGGCTGGGAACTTGCTGGACACTGTATCACTGTATGACGATGGCTGGATCGTCAGTCTGACCAACAGTGGCATGAGTCCACCATATTCTACCACTGCCACTTCCCCGCAGCGACTCTGAATCTGTTATTATGCCTGAAGCAGCTGATTCTGTTCCTACGCTTTGAGCAGCATGGCGGTTGCAGTGCCACTAGCGAAGTGCAAGGCAGATCACTATCAGCATGTTGAAGGGGCGCACCGAATCAACCACCGAAAGCTATGCTTGCTGGATCTTTCTGGCATGTGGAGCTTTACTCCGTCACTGCTCAAGGCCGCACTGTCTTGCGCTGAGAGGTGAAAAGACTGCCAGGTCAGGTCCTTTGCATGATCGCCTACGAGGGGCCCTCCGACTGAAAACTCGAAACAGGAACTCCATCTGATTTGGGCTTCGAAGCCAACGATTGCTACGAGAGGTGGAGGGGGGCCCGATTAATTTCACGCACACTCGGAACAGGCTGACAGCTTCAGGCTTCAGCAAGCTCAGATGGGAGGGACTTGCCAGGAAGTGCGGTGCCTGGGCTGTGTCACGATCGGTTGTCACGTTCTCAAGCATTCTGGAATGCAAGAACTTGTCCAGCCATTCTTGTTGTTGATCGTGCCAAGCTCGGAGCACTGTAAACGCGCGTACGAACCCCAAACGGCGCAGCCGACAGTGACACCGTCCCACACCTGCAATGTGCACAGGCTCGTGAATGTCGAATGCTTCTTGCGGCTACGAAGCATGGCAAACGCACCAGCAGTCGTCAGTACTCCTGAGAGTGGGAGCCAGCGCTGACGCCTGGCGTGGCTTTCAAGGAGTGCTGCTCTGGCCACGCATTTTTCTCAGCTGCTGTGCTTGAGTTTGATTCAGACTGTGCTAGGGATCTAGTTTCTTGCACCGTGGGGCTTGGGCAGGTCTGGCATCAAAGGACGTATCATGCGATAGAAACGCATGACAGAGAAACAATACGGTTGCTTTACGCGCCTTTCGCACTCGTCTTCTGAGGCATGAGCACGGTGTGAATGTTGGGAATCACCTGGGAAGGTAAAGTCGTGAAGTCGTCTCAGCATCCGTCATCCGTCCAGTGAAAGGCCCCAACTCCTCCTGACTTGATGGTCACATTGGCCATGTACTTGTTCAGCTCCTTGCAACTCGATCAAACGACGTATGGACTACACAGAGACATCTTGACACTCAATCTAAAGCTAGCTCTCCTACGTTCGACCTGCTATTACCAGGAGAGCTCTGCACGACGCAGGCATGCCGTCTTCGGGCTCTCCCTTGCATTTGCTGCGTGCCTCATCGTTGCGGATCGCCAGCTGGATGTTGCGAGGAATAATACGTTGCTTTTTCTGCTCCTGTCAACCCAGAGACAAGAGGGTTTCTCTGTAGAACCCGTCTGTGCAACAAACGCCAAACACTGCACGCCGTGTCATGTAAGCTTGCCTTCACGGTGTTGCCAGCCAGCTCTAGGATCTCGGCAACGACATACTCCATGACGCCAGTGAGGTAGATTGACCTTCCGGCCACTTGGGCAGAAGTGCCGGCCGGATCTACGCCGTTCGGCTGAAGTCGTAAGGGGTGGACGCATCTTGTGAAACACCTTAGCCGGGACATCGACACAGCTCAAAGAGGCACAGACCATGCCCGCGGATGATTCCACAGAGACCACAGGTTGACACAAGGAGTCCGTAATGTTGCCCAGGAGCGACCGTAGCCACTCTCCCTCAGCAGGTTCCTGACTTTGGCAACGGGGAAGCCTGGCGGCCACAGACAGAACTCATGATAGAAGGTGAACCCGAGAAGGACAAGGGGATTTATGTCAGGACGCTGGGTCAGACTTAGCTCACGTAGGGACGAAGGGACAACCTGGGACAACATGCCAGCAGCTCAAAGCCCTGCTTTGTACTCTGTCCGGACAGGTGCCTCTGCAAAACGAGCAGGCATATTGTTCGGAAGACTCTCATTCTCCTGGCTGGCCTTCTTGCCCTTGGAGGGGTCTTTCTTGGCGACCGGCTTGCTCTTGCCGCGTGGGCGACCGGGTCCCTTGCGTCCGGAAGACTTCGGCGCAGCCTCGCGACAGATCGGCTTGATGAGAAGTGCAGCTCGTACGGCTTGTACATTCTGGACTCTGCACATGATTCAGAACAGACATGACATTCGCGATAGCCGGAAGGGCCACAAAGTCCCAGAAGCCGGCAATTTGAGGCTGGATGAGGCAATGCTTCAATCGGAACGGATTTGCAGCACGTGTCCGGTCCTCAGCTGGGCCGCTCGGATCATCTTCGTCCTGCTCCTCTTCCGGCTCCTCTTGCTCGGCCTCATCCTGCTCTTGGTCCATGTCCTTCCGAAGGCTCCGGTAACATCTGTATATATCTAGATACCTACGTCTGTATTGCACAAATATACATATGTATCTGTGTGTATATATGTGTATGTATATATATATATATATATATATATATATATATATATATATATATATAATTATACACAATATGCATACACACACTCATTTGTCTGTTTACAGACAGAACATGAGATCCTACGCAAATCACCGCACCTCTTCCTCCTCAACGTCTTGGGCGACTTCCTCTCCCGGCAAGCACTGACCCAGAGCCAACATAAGCAAATCCTGATCACTCAAACAAAACAGTGCTATCGCGAGTCCTCGTCCTCCTCTGGTGCTGACATGACAACGACGCCTCGGAAAAATTCGTCCAGGATGACGTAGATAGACTGAACATGACAGCTGCAAATGCAGCCTCTGGGGGCGCAGCAAGATGACAGCAGGCGCGTTACCAACAAATGCCAGAACGGAGATCGCGTGATCCCACTATAACTTCTCTCTCGTCCAGCGTGGCGAAGTGAGCGCAAGGTGAAGTGAGCGCAGCTAGATGCACGCAACAGCCGTTGCCCCTCTCGACAAAACAAGTTTGAGGGAAGGGATTCTTTAAGCCGAGCCGACGCATCCGGCTTGTCTCTGCCCTTTGGACAGGCCACAGAAAAGAATCAGCACCATGCTCGCATTTCACAGATGCAAGAACCGGATTGCCGGTTGCCAGTGACTGCTACGCAACACGGGAAGAGACCGCGCTGCTCTGATAACAAAGAATTCGGGGGTTTGGCCTCTGCAGCCAGGAATCGGCATATTCAGGCCAATCTTTTGATTGCGTACTGACCTTTTCCATGTTGAGATGCCGCGACAAGCTGACGTTACAATATTGGACTTTGCAATCACAGTAAACGAAGATCGTAGGCCAATACGCACCGTTGCAACTGAGTCACCGCACACTACGTGCACACTCACCGCCACCGGTCCGTGTGTCTGTTTGTGTGTTATACAGTTCTGGGAGTAACCCCGAAGGGTTACTTCAAAATTTGCCACAGGCAACCAGCAATTCAGCCGGGTGTGGGCCGTGGTTAAAGTACTTTTGGCAGGCCTTTCAAATTTACCCGCCAGGAAAAACCGAGAAGGTAGAGTCACTGCGAAGAAGGAGGAACTCGCCGCTTTGGAGCACTAGAGCCTCGTGCTGGCGATTAAGACGAAAGTACTTACGTAGTGATTCGTCTGCAACGAGATATTGAATCCTTGATGCAACCATGGACCAACGGCTTGGAGATAGCTGTCGCATGATGTCGCATGTGGGAATTCAACTGAACCTTCTGGAAAGAATGTTGAGTCAGAGCTCCTCGTCCTATCTGGTCACGAGTGTTCAAAGGTTGGGGAAACTAGGTGACGCTGGGTGCCTCGAGGCCGTGATTGAAGGAATAGGATCCCCAAGTCCACTGCGGATACAACATGCCATGCATTAACTCGGAATTAACTCGTAAAGTCTTTGCGGGCATCTGGGTGCTGGCAGGTTGCCCGATCAGGATCTCCAGGCGAGGTTCTGATATCTCAATTGTCGGCACTTGCTCGTCCTGGCGCACAGCCACGGATTTCCGAAACCGCCCAACTCTGCTCATCGGGAGCCTCCTTCAGATCGCCGTTCTTCATCCTTGCAACCACTGAAACGAGAGTCTAGTCTAGTCCTGGTCCTATAAGTGTCGAAGCTAGATGAATGCACTGCCTCAAACTCAGCGCGGAGCATATCTTTCGTCATCTGCCACATCGTGCTCCAGTAAGCATCCTCCTGGTTCCCCGCATCGTCCATTCCGGAAACCTGGCTGACATAGACGACATACAGTACTATATACTTCATGGATGAGACGGGCAGAAAGGCGTAAAATCGAAATTGAATTTGAAATACTATATACTCTATATTTTATACTCTATACGAGATACCAGAAACTAGATCCAGGTACTAGATAGTGGATACTATGTACTATAGACTACATATTATATACTATATATACTCTATACCATAGACTATATACTATATACTAAATACGGTGTACTGTGTGCTGTGCTTTCTTTGCTTCTATTGTGCGCTCACGCTGAACGCAACTAGGCCCTCGAGTTTGCCTTTCTATTTGCTTTTCTATAGAATTCGCTATCACCACCTTCTAACTAACTTGATTGATGAATGAGTCGGGTGATGAGTGCTGTTGTTCTGCTGTTCCTAGCCTCTTAGATTCGACATGATTCGACTATTTACTTGTAGTTGATGCTGCCGACACTGCTGTTGTTGTCGTCCTTGTCGTCGTGGTTGGTGCTGGCACTGTGGCTGCTGTCGTTGTGATCGTTGAGGTGGTTGTGATCGTTGACGTGGTTGTGGACGTTTTTTGTTATTGCTGCTGTTGACGTTGCTGCTGCTGCTGCTGCTGGTGTTGCTGCTGCTGCTGCAGCTGCTCTTTTGCTGGTGCTGATGCGGTGCTGTTGCTCTTGCTCTTGCTGTTGCTGCTGCTGGTGCTGCTGCTGTTGCATGCTGTTGCTGTTGCCGTTGTGGTTGTGGTTGTTGTTGTTGCTGTGGCTGTAGCTGTTGCTGTTGCTGGTGCCGTTGCCGTTGTTGTTGTTGCTGTTGTTGCTGTGGTTGCTGTTGTTGCTTCTGTAGCCGCTATGGATCACAGCAGGCTGTATAGCACTGCTAACAGGGCTCCGGGTACCAACGCTAGAGGCTCGCAACGGCCCCCTTCTGCGAAGCTTAAGGGACTGTCCTCTTTCTGAGCCATAGCCATCCCTGGAGCCACGTGTCGCTGTGATCTACCGGGTCCCAATTCCCGGGCCTCTGTCTGCAGTTATACAACATTGGCAAGAGGTAAGCGGTAGTGGTTTTCACCTATCCGCGAGGTGAAGGGAGTCGGATCGAGTTCTCTCTTTCCCGCGAAACTAGCGGACGGCGCCAACGCCAATGCACCAGCATTCCTTTGAGAGCATTCGCAAGAAGGCCTTTCGAAAGGCTTGCAATAGGGTACACAGAACACAGGAAAGCATCCAGTATAGAAACGGCGTGCTGACGCCTGAGCATCTGCGTCGCAGTGGACTTACCCCCCCCTCCCCTCCCCTCCTTCCTGTACAGCCTAGTTCCACGGATCCTTCGGCTCCCTCAGGCCGCACAGACAGCTTCCGCTCACGTCCGCGAGGTGGACGAGCCAGTAAGTCGCTCCGTGTCCTCTCATGGAACGCTGGGCACCTTGGCATCCAGCAATGGGCAGAAGTGAAGACATGGCTACGAACCGAGGCCCAATATGTCTGTGATATTTTAGTCCTGCAGGAGACGCACTGGAGCGAAACAGCAGAGTTTGACGTTGAGGGTTGGCACTGCATAAGCTCTGCCACCAAGGGAGCTGCCCGGGCACCCAAAGCCAAATCAACTTCAGGGCAACGCTCAGCGCGAAGTGCTGCATCGCAGCCGGCGATACATGACACTGGTCGTGCAGATGGGGTTATGGTCCTCCTTTCCCCCTTGATAGACAAGAAAAAGATTAGATGGCGTGAACAGCGCCGAGGCCGACTCATTCAAGTCACCTTTCCGTGGCTGGGAGCTCGAATTCATGTCTTTGCGGTCTATCAACATGCGTGGTCTTCTAAGAAGACTCCTCAACAAAACAAGGAAGATCGCTCGCGCCTGCTACGTGACCTGTCCTCATCCATCAGAGCTGTTCCGGCGAGGGACACATTTCTGCTGGCAGGTGACTTCAACGCACGCTTGACCCCGCAAGAGGGTCTGGTAGGTCGGTGCAGCACTAAGCCAGAGCACTCTCAAATGCAGGATGAGCAGTTCCAGGCCTTGGTTTCCTCTCACAGACTGGTAGCGCTCAACACTTGGTCCTGCGGCACTGGACACACTTTCTTCCTGAACGGAAAGGGCTCACAGATTGATTTCTTGCTGACCTCTGAGGCCTCAGCGAAAGGTATGGCCAAGCGCGCTGGGCCACGACAGGACCTGCAACTTGGACGGTGGAAACGTGGAGGTCATCTGCCTGTATTCGCTCAGCTCCGCCCTACCCAGCACTGGAATTTGCCCAAACCTTCCGGCCCCTCCCTAACCTACAATAAGGAGGCCCTGGAAACAGCAGTTCGCTCTGGCCTGCCCATTGCTGACCGTATGCAGGCTTGGGTAAGCCAGCGCCTATCTTCCAGGTACCACACGCCCGACGAGGTCAACCAAGTGCTGCTCGAGGCTTCTGCTATGTTTTTTCCGAAACCCAGACCTCAGCAAGTGCCGGAGACCGCGCAACACCGCGCAACCTTGCGCATGTGGAACAGAGTAGCACACATTCGCTCTCTACATGAGGACTCTGTCACCACATTAGCCGACCTAGATCAGTCCCTGGAGGACCTGAGCCGATGGCACAAACAGGCTCTCTACCTGGCGAAGAAGGAACGCCATCGTGCATTTCAGGCAGAAGTTGATGAAGCATGCGCCCGCCATGACTCGTACATTGCTCACAAAACCCTCAAAAAACTCAGGCCATGGGCACCACAGACCAAGGCACAGCTTCAGGGCCCGGATGGTTTGCTCCTGGACTCACACTCAGAGCTCCGTTTGCTCCGTGAGCACGTGGAACAAGTTTTTGCCAAGCATCCTCCCCTAGATCACCATGTAACTACTTTGCCGGACATCCCGGCAGGACTGCTAGCCAAGCACATCGGTTCCATACGACCACACAAAGCGGTCCCTCAAGGCTCCGCACCTGCGGCGTCCTGGCGATTGTGCTCGGCGGATGCGGGTGAGGCTTTAGCAGCAACGCTGCAGTCCATTGGGCAACGCCCACAGTCGGCTGAGGATGTTCTTCAGCCACCGCTCAAGGATGCTGACATGTGTTTTATTAAGCCCAACAAGCCAGCCACGAAGCCTAGCAATCTACGCCCCCTGGGCATCATACGCCCTGACGGGAAAGGCCTGGCAGGGGCCTGCAGAGACAAGCTATCTCCCTACACGGCTGAATATCTTCGGGGCCTTCCTCAGTTTGCCTACCAACCCCAACACGGTCTATCTGACGCGCTAGGCAGGGTCGTAGGACATGTCACTCAAGTGCGAAGTAACTGCCAGGAGGCCCGGCGAACCAGACACCAGCTTCACGCAGGACATACACGTCCTCAGTTGATAGGAGGCATTTGCTTTGCTTTGGACTTGTCGCAAGCCTTCGATATGGTGAACAGGTCCGACCTACTCAACACACTGCACGACGCAGGTGTCCCACAGGACCTCATTGATCTTGTCGCCTCCTTGCACGCAGGCAGTTCGTACACTTTTCGCACGCAAGGTGAAGCCGATACCGTCCAGTCCACGGCGGGCATTAAACAAGGATGCAAGCTTGCTCCCACTCTCTTCTCTATGCTCACAGGCACCATCTTTCGAGAGCTCATAGCTCTAGTAGGAGTTAAAGCTGTAGTTGACTACCTCACAGGCTACGCGGACGATCTGACAATCCACCGAGACATCCACTCGCTGGAAGATCTAGAACGCGCTCATGCATTGATAGAGCAGTTGTTGCAGTTGGTCCGCAGTCATGGCTTTGCAGTGAACAATTCCAAGTGCACAGTCATGGTAAAGCTCGAAGGCCAACAGGCGCAACGCGCCCTGTCCCAGCACACGTATTGGCGCACCGCGTCTGATGGTACTCGTCACAAGATGTGGCGGTTGGGGACATCCAAGTCTCACGAAGGCTTTCCAATGGTCACGTCTTTCAAGTACTTAGGAGTCATGCTCTCCTACTCGAATTTCGAGAAGGCCACTCTTACATTCCGGCTGCAGGAGGGCAACGCCAAACTGCAACAGGTACGTCGCTTTGTTCACAACAGACGCACAGCAGGGCCGAAATCGAGGCTCCATATCTGGCACAGCACCGTCTGGGCCACGGTGGCCTCTGGGCTAGTCGACGTCGGTCTAACTCTTGAAACGGCTCGACTTTTACGCGCCTGGCACGCTCGCAAGATTCGTGCGGTTCTTAACAATCCGGTGCATCTCACGCACATGTCAACCTCTGACCTTTACGCTTCCTACGAGATCATAGATCCCGTTTGTAAGCTCCGGGCGAGACAGGCCAATCGTGTCAAACGCTTGCATCTCCGCCAAAAGAAAACACCTGCAGGAGACGTCTCGCTGACACAGAAAGCTGTGCATCAAGCGGAAGCACTCTCTGTCGGGTATACAGAGGTTCTCCAGCAGCTCTCCGAAGAAATTAAGCAACAGGAAGCCCCCCAATCGTATGCATGCCCAACATGCGCTCAGGCCTTTGACACCGAGGTCGGCCTACGCACACACCAGGCACGCAAGCACCCAGGCTCGGTCCTCAGATATGTCCCTAGAGCCTTCTCCCACACCCTTTCGGTAGGAGGGCTTCCTAAGTGTGCAGCATGCAACCGGCAATTCCCTCAGATGAAAGGCTTAAAAGACCATTTGTTATCAGGCGCCTGCCCAGACCCGGCCAAATTGAAGGAGCTCGATGAAGCGGCTCATCCCCCCTCGGACCTGCAGCAGGTCCCTCGGCTTCACCCCAGACAGCAACGACTTCATGACACATTGCAGACGCACACTGCGGTCGAACTAGGCAGGCTTGATGAATCCCAGGATCTTATGTCTTATTGCCTGATCTGCGGATTCTGGTCTCCGGACAACACCAAGCTCAAGTCTCATATTCGCCAAGCCCACAAACCGGAGTGGGCAGCACATGGCGCCGCGGCTGCTGACAGGAGCACCAAATCAGGACTGGTCCTCATCAAGGGCATGCCCTGCCCGTGCTGCCGTAAGACGGTCACGGACAAAAGACTACACCCTGCGCAGTGCCCTGTTTTGTTCCAAATCTCGTTTTACGATTTGGTTCATGAGCTCTCTCGCTGTCAGGGAGGACCGCTGCGACGGTACATCCCTGTTGTTAGTGAAGCGCCTCGTACCATCTCTGACTCCGACTGTAGACGAGCCACCGGGGCAACGCCCCCAGCAATCCAGGCAACGCCTGTGGCAGGTGCGTCCTTGCCCTCTGGCGCTTCGGGATTTGAGAACGCTACCTCTGATGCCCCCCGCCCGCTGAGCAACATCTCCAACTACTGCTACATCAATTCTACGCTCTCGGCTCTGGTGCCGACGCGTGTTCTGCTTGAGCATGGAGGTGCTAGCTCCTCTCTCCATCAAGAAGTCACTGACAGAACCTCTGCTTCTCCTTTTACACTGACTGCCTCTTTTACTCTCCGCCACCTTACTCCCACCTGGCGTTATGATGGCCAACAACAAGACGCTTCTGAATTTCTGACGGCTTTGTTTGCCGGAATCACAGATTTTCCGATCGCCAGGCCTTGGGAGGTCAGGGATGTGAACACCACGGAAATCCTGGACGCAGGAGGGCCGCTGGCCCTGCTGCCGGCTCCGCTGACTGCCGGCTCCCAGGACCTTCAAGACCTCGTACGCCAATGGTCCGGGCAACCGGTGCGAGCTGCTTTTAGGGGACAGCAAAGGCTGATCGTTCTTTCTGTAGCCCGATTTGCAGACGGTCGAAAGCTCAGCTACGCTGTCACGGGCCTAGGTCGTTTCATCGCGCTTTCCCAATGGGCCCCTGATGGCTCTGTTCACACAGTTCAGGGCTGGGTGCAGTCATGTGTATTCCACATTGGAGACACCCCGCACAGCGGACACTATCGCTCCCTCTGGAGGAGCCAACCCGATCAACCGTGGTCCAGTACGGACGACGGTCGTCCGACTGCTCCGGCCTCAGATTCTGATCTCAGGCAGGCACGACAAGGCTGTTATATGCTGTTAGTGCGACTTGGTTCATTACCGCACACAGCGGAGGCTGGCCCTATGCCAGTCCCAGTTCTAGATGAGTAAGCTGAGGGTTCCCCTGCGGCCAGGGGCCCCTACTTCCCCCTCGCAGGAAGGGGGCGACCTACTGGCTCTGTGGGACCGACCTGCCTACACGGCAGGGAGCAGGAACGCTGTTGTTTAGTTTTGCTGCTCAAGTTGTACAGCTGACGTAGCTCCTCGTTCATGGCCGGCAACTCTTCGCCACCGGCCAAGCCGGAAAAACGAGCACGTCGTGACCTCGAGGCTGCGGCGAAGGCTGCCGCGGCACCACCTCAAGGCGGGCGAGGCACGATCCGCGCTCTTTCGGTGCAAGAGCTCACCCGCGCCTTCTTGGCACACGATGACGAAATTCAGAGCATTCTCCATCAGCTCTCCGTCGTTCATAAGCTCCCGGTAGAGGGACCGCTGGCCACGACGGATCTCGACGCCATTCAGGGATGGCTGAAGGATCATAAGCCAGGCCAACCACACCCCTCCGGCTCTCCCACGGTCGCGGTTGCTGCTGCAGTGCTTCCATTCTTGAAGGATTCAACGAAGCCTGAGTCTGTCACCCAACCAGCCTGGGAAGACTTCAAGGCTGCTCTAGCTCGCATCCTAGATGATCCGGACAAGAACAACGCGATCAATCACGAGCTTGCTCTGTTTTCGGCTCGGGCCAATGCGAAAAAGACCCACCTCATCTTGGAGATCCGCCTGAAGATGCACAGCACGTTGCTCGCTCATGTCTCGACGTACAGCAAACTCATTGAGGACTTCGAAGGCGAGGCACTGGGCAAACGCCCCCAGGGCACCCTGGCTCGCAAAGCCCGTGGACTCCCAACGACCAATTGACGCTTGCCGATGGCCAGGTTCTGCTTGGTAGACGTAGATGACATAGAAGCTGTTCCGCCAGACGTCGCTTTGTCGTCCTTGTTCTCTGACTGAGAATGAGTCGGACCATCGAGTTCCTGACGAGCCGCCCACAGGAGATGCTCGTAGAGCTGTTCCTGGGAGATGCCATGCTGAGCCTCCGACATGGCTTAGCTATGTGAGCTTAGGAGTCCGGAGTGGAACTCTCATCGGATCTCAACGGCTAAAACATGCAATGGTTAGCTGGGTAGTATAAGGAGAAGCAGGCAGAGGGGAGGCGGAGACCGCGAGAATGCAGAACTAGAGACTACACGGCCAAGCTGTGTGCCCTTTTTTGTTCTCTTTAACGCGTGTGAGCGAAGGAGCGGCAGGGGTGAAGTTCTTGACAGATGGAAAGCAATTCCCTCGCGCAGCTCTTAGCTGTGGGGTGCAAGAGGCTGCGAATCTAAAAGCCGGGAACCTGGAGGCGTTGCCTCACCTCTGGGGCGACTGAAACATCCTCTTCTACTACAACATCGTCGCCTCCCAAGCCCCCTACGCCTCCCGCATCCAAGCGGCAGATGATGTGGAAGCCCAAACTGCCCAAGGCGTCCTGAGTCGTGTGGCATCGCCAACGACTTAATCGGCGAACTTCGCACCGCGAAACTAGTGCATGCAGTACTCGGCTGAAGTGCGGGTCAAATGAAGACCCTTTGCCAGCGCCTTAAACAAGCGTCTCTAGCTGCTTTAGCTAGGATCCCAGGTGTCTGGCAGCAATTGACCTGCATCGATCAGCAAAGTTTTTGGCCCGAGCACGAGATTCTCTCACAACCTTTCGCAGCACGCTGCTCCCTGCGCGGACATGTCGCAGTCCTCGACCTCGCTCTCGGCTGAGGCCGGTAAGGCTCTGGAGAGCTTGCAGGAACATGGTTCCTCGCCTCTTGTCCTCCCGGGGCATTATGTCAACCCCTCCATCCAGGTCATGTCCTTGATCACCTCCGAGCTGGGTCAGCAAATCAGCTCGGGCTACACCTGCCAGGTGTATCTTCCAGCCCAGCCCTGCTACTCTCCCTTCTCTGAGGTGCAACGCATCGATGTGACGCGTGGCCCCGCCACCTTCCCGCCCCTTTTGGAAGAGCGAGAGCACTATGTGATTCGGACTGCCAAAGCCGGCTTCGGCGCGGAGGTTAATCGAGAAATTATCAGGGCGGCTCGCATGCCTGAGGTGGTGGTTCTTCAGACCATTTTGGCCTGGGATCCACAGCACCTCCGAGTGCTACCCTGTCCCGGTCTCTGCACTGACCACTCGTCATGTCTTTCGCCTCATGCAAGACATGCGCAGGGCGATCTCCCTGCTCCATGACCATGACATCATACATGCTGATGTTCGGCTAGCCAACATCATGCTCCGAACGGACCCGGCCAGCTTCGTCCTCATCGATTACGGCGGCAGCAAGGAGACCATTTGGCCGGTCCGTTATGGTTACACAGTAGCAGGCCGCGGAGGCACTCAACACCGCCCTCCAGCTGAATGCATGAATGAATGGTCGACCCCCTCGCTGCGGGTCCCTTACTTATGCGGCCGGAGCGACTTCCACCGCCTGGCCTGTACTATCCGTGAGGAAATTCTTGGCCAGATGGAAAGCGAGGCGGGGCAACGCCCACCCGCTGAGGAAGGCAACGCCTCCAGACGCCGGAAACGCGACCAGCTTCGCCCACAACTTTTTTGCGAGGCTGAGCAGGAATTGGACATGATGCTTGACACCACCACGTGGAGGGTAAAGCCCAATCCTCACAGCCTCTTCCCGCCTGGCTCGTGGCGAGACACGGCTGTCAACCCTACCATCATGCTGACGGCTCACCTGTGGACTACCGAGGGCCAGTCACGTACTTGCACTACCACCTTTCGCTCGCCTTTGGAGCGCAAGGGCAACTCCAATGGGCATTTTGTGGACGAGCCGGACCAGCCCTCCTATGAGCCTGGCGTCTCTCTCACAGCACAGTTCAACACTGGCTCGTGGGAACAGTCGGGCTATCTCCCCAAGATCTTTCTGGTCTGTGAGCTAAAGACTGAGGGACGTGGCACCCGATCAGTGGCTCAGCAGGTCTATCCCTGGCTGTCATACCGAAACAGGGATGGCATGCTGGAGCTAGAGCCACCGCCAGGTCCACCTCGGATGGACCCATCCCCAATCCAGTCCCAGAGCAACGCTCTCCTATCAGGGGGCACCGCCCAAGAGCCACTTGTGCCAGGGCGAATCACATCGGACCCGACTCCGCCTTCAACGACGCCTCCTTCCCCCATGCTAACGGGCGTTTGGGCTGAGCCACCTACGGAAGCGCCTGATGCAGAGGAGACCACCGCTGCCCCCGCGGCGTCGGGAGCTCCGGATGTTCACTTCTTCTCACCTCTTCAGGTCTTCCCGCTCGTCCATGCTCTGGAGCAACACGCTGGCACCACGGTACCCGGAGCAGATGGCCTCTCTCGCGCGGCCCTCTCCAACTCCATTCAGGATACGATGATCTTCTTGCAGGCTCTGTTGCTCTACTTGGAGTACCAGGAGCCGGAACCGGCCCCCACTGAGAGCCAGGCCAACCCTCTCTTTTAGGGGTGTTCTATCACTGCGGTGTCTTCAATCATCTTTCTCATTTCAGGCAACGCCTGCACACTGCAAGTAACGCTTGCTAGGTATCTGCTCACACTGGACAATTTCAGCACAGCAAGCTCTGCCTTTTCTTTCAGCTCGTCCAATAGCCCAGCTGGGCTCGTCGGTGTATCATGTGAGCAAGCCTAGCAAGGCCCATCTCTTTCTTCACGCCATCTTCACGCAGCAGCCTTTCGCGCAGCTTGTACAAAACAAGGAATCTTCGCAGTGCGCCTCCAACTACTCAACCAGCCTTGGCAGCCACGGCATCTCTGCTTCTGCACTAGGCTCAAATAGCCGGCTCTTTTTTTCGATTTGGGGTCCACCCTCTGAGAGGGCTGTGCCTCCTCATGGCGTGGACGCGCCCCTTTCCAACAGTCTGGGATGATGCAGGTCGGGAGGTGCTCAATGAGGCGCCGCCCTTTCTTGCCCTTGCTGACTCCACCTTCAGGGCCTTTTGCGGCAGGGCAAGCAATGGGCCTCATACGGCTACCCCTCGCTAGGGATGGGCTACTCGGTGGTGTGTCCAGGGGCCTCCCTCGTTCGCTCCTATCCTGGGCGTCCCTCCATCTTAGGAGCCCTTGCTCTGGCTGGATTCCCTCCAGTCTCGCGACTCCCTGCCAGCTCCGATCTTGAGGGCTTCTTGCACTTCCTGCGGGACAGGCTCGATGAGCCTGTCAAGGTAGGCTTGGTCCCCTGCGGACGCAGTGTGCCACATCCCAAGCAGTCTGCTTATGACTATGTGGAAAGGGCACGGCACGACTTCAACCTCAAGGACTACGAGTTCCCCTGGCAGATCATGGACCTGGACCAGCCTCCGGATCTGGACTTGTATGGCCAGGATCCCACGCACTTTCAGCCGTGTGCTGAGCTGCCTGCCATTGGGCGTATCATTGGCCGTGCTCTCTACTGTATGACAGTACCGAAACCACAGCGAGCTGAAGGAGGCAACGCCCCCGAGACTCCGCAGGGCAACGCCCCCCAAACCCCATCCACCTCACCTTTTGCGGGTGGCCTGGGACCAGGGGATGCGCAGCAGGCGCCGCACACTCCTCCACCCTTTCTGCCAGTCCTTCTGTGCTGCTCCTGGAACGCGACTCAGGGCATGATACATCAGGAGATGTTGGCCACCCACGCGCTCATTCGAGCCTCCACTCTGAGAGAGTTGCTGATCGTGGCGGCCAGCCAAGCCAACTTCCCCATTGAGAAGACGTACCGCCTTACGGTACCGGCTGACCGTACTCCCTATGGGAGGTTCCCAATCCCGCAGCGCCTGGTCCAGACCTTCATTCATGACGAAATGGTTGGCCCTAAGGAAATGGCGGAGGACAAGTTCCGGACCTTTCGTCGCGAGTTCTTCAACGACGAAGCATGCGCGGAAGTGATCCGATCAGTCACTGGAGGAGCAAGGCAACGCCTTCTCTCCAAGCTCCGAAGCAACGCGCATCGCGCGGATGTCTTCAGATACGTTGAACACTGGCTCCGCGGCGGCATCTACCTCGACATCAAGACGGCCTTCCTGATCACACCGCAGGAGCTTCACTCCTCCATCGTGGCAGAGTGGCGAGAACAGCCACTCCTCTCCGACCTTGCCTCCCAAATCTATGGATGGGATGCTGATACCTTGCGAGCCAGCGGCCCTCCTGATTACTTCCTCACGGCCATCGGTCAGAAAAAAGACCACATTTTCCAAGGCATCCTCATGGGACGACGGCAGCACCCCCTCATGACTGCTGCACTACGCCATGCTTTTCAGCATAAATATGTGGATGCGCAGGGGGCCATCAACGAGAAGTATATGTTCTTCTGCATCGCCCTCTATGAGATCGTACGCCAGGACCTGCTCAGTGACCCGGTCCTCCACCCGACGGCGCAAGGACGCAGCTTGGCCCCTGGCTGGCATCTCACACAGACCCTGGGCCCGATCTATCTGCTGCAGGAGGTCCATGAGGATCAATTGCGGAGAATGCAGGGCGTGCCCCCCAATGAGGGGCATGGGTTCCGAACAGCCTCCAAGCAACTCATAGCTCTTACTCGGTGCTGGGGTTGGAACAAGGGATGGAAGTCTGATCCGGCTTCCACCAAAGCCAACAACGATGCCATCCTTCGTGGACTCCCTACTGCACTCCACGCAGCACAGGAGGCTGGCAACGCCACGACCCGGCGAGGCAACGCCTCCACAACTCCGGTCCCCACTGAGGCAACCATTCAGGCACATGTGCTTGAAGCTCTCGACACCAGCCTTCTCGATCGGATTGTGCAGCTCATCGAAAAGTGGCCGCGTTTCTATGGCGAACTCACCAAGCAGCAAGTCCAGGAGCTCATCCCGCGCGGTCTTGGCATAGCCATTTCAGAAAATGGTGACACTTTGTGCTGTGTCTTCTGTGCGGGCAAATCTGGCGGACCCTGCATGTTCCACACCTCTCAGGGCTTACTGCCGCACTTTCTGCGGACACGCGGCAGCGGCGCTACATGGCATCACGCGGGGGAAGAGGCCTATGCCAGGGCTACCACTGGGCTCTCAGGTCAGGCCGCTGCGGCGGCCTCCTCCTCAGATTCCGGCAATCAACGGCCCAACGAGCCTGCCTCCCCGCCGCCATACGTCGCACCGCGACCGGCCATCCTTGATGCACCGCATCGTCATGAAGCTCCTCCTCAAGAGCCAGAAAACACTCCTCCCACAATGGAGGAACTCTGTGCCGAGAAGGACTTCTACGACTGGGTGGTGGCAGTAGCGGACCTTCAGTCACTGACGGCTCCTGAAGTCGTGGGTGTTCTTCAGCCCCAGGAGTTCACAGCGATATGGAATGCCCGACTTCAGGTCTTGACCAAGCTGCCAACCGTGCTTGCAGGCCTTAGCAGGGTTTACCAGAAACCTGAAGCTGATCGAAAAGACCTCAGCTGGCGCTCTGTGATCTCGGGTCGACTTGTTGTCCACTCCTCTGGCCACTTAACGATGGCCACGAAGGACCGCGCTGGTCAAGAGCACATCCACCCCAAGCTCACGACCTGGCTCGGGGGCCTTCAGGCTACCATTAAAAATGGGGTCCCCTGCGCTCTCTTCGAGGGCAAGCGAGTGGCTACTCAGGATGAGTTTCGCCTATTTGCGACGACCCTGCAGACCATCTACGAGGCAGCCACCAAGAAGGCGCACCAACCCTCCCACGTCAATATCATCCAGGCCACGCGCGACAGCCATCCAACCATCAAGATTACGCACGGCCAAGTCCTGGATAGCAAGCTGAACGTCATTCGCAATGTTACTGGCCAGCAGCTTCGTGGTCGCCGTGAAAGGCAAGCTGAGCACAGAGAGAACAAGGAGTCCAGGAGGTCGGACCCGTATGGCTCTCACGAGCCCCCGTCCGAACAACACTCCAGATCTGCCGGCTCCCAAGACTGGCAAGACTGGCGGGACTGGGAAGAAAATTCCTACAATGCCAGGAACTCTGCCTACCACGGCTATTACCGCTGAGCCATCGCATGCCAGGGCTGCTTAGCCAGTCTCACCTTTTGCGGTTGCCGGGCAACGCCCCAGTTGATGCCAGGCACCGCCCTGCTGACATCATTGCGCGTTGTTGGTAATGGGCAACTGTAATCTTTCTCTTCCTTTCTGCTCAGCTAACCTAGTTGGCAATACAGGCAACGCCTGCAGTGATGTCAGGCAACGCCCTGCTTACAAACCGAGCGTCTTTTGATGAAGCGCTCAGTGATGAGTCAAGCAGCACCGCCTACACTAGTGATGCTAGTCTCTTTGAGCGGAGTACAAACTCTCTGTCAGTCATTCTGCTCTTGCCGCACGAGCCAGGGACCACTCTATCTCACTCTCTCTAGGGTATGTGGCTCCAGCAGCAAACATAGCCAGGAAGCTCCCAACATCATGTTTCAAACGCGAGACTTTCCGCCGGACCTGTACGCCGTGGCCCTTGAGGAGTACCTCTTGTTACAGGCCATGCATGCCCTGGCCGCTCGACCGCCACGCTTGTCGCTTCCGGCCGAAGCGGGGATGCTATCCTACAATGATCTGCTGCACCTGGCAATTCAGACCTTTGGGCATGAACGGATGAAGGAGTTGTCCTACCACCTTGCACGTCTGCAACCCTGTCTCCCTCGCAGCCTTGACACTCATATGCCCTTTCCGTACGGTGAGTTGGATGAGCGGACCACCAGCGCTGAACTTCTGTCGTGGCATTTGCTACAAGACGCTCAGTCACCGCTCTGGAATGCTGTGCGCACAGCAGTTCGCGCTTTGATATGGCGCCCAGGTCGCCAACGCTTCTCTGATGGCACCGCCAACAATGTCACCTTCGGCGCCTTTGCACGAGGACCTATCGGACTTTGCGCAGATACGGTTCGGCATGGATCCTTCTGTCGATTGCTCAACCGACTGATTGAGCACATCTGCCCGGAGCACAAATGGACTACCTTCTCCTTGAACCTCAACGTTCGCACGCCACCTCATCGAGATCAGTCCAACTCCAAGACGGGCACGTTGCTGCTTAGTCTCTCCCATCATGATGAAGGATCAGTCTGGGTGGAATCCTGGCAAGGCACTGATTACGAAGAAACTGACTATGGTCTGCTGAGTGGCCGCCCATTTAGCCTGGCCTTTCAGGCACTCATTTTCCCAGCTCACAACCATGTTCACTGTACTCGCGGTTAGAGCCTGACAGATCGAATCACGCTGGCTGCATACTGTATTTCTGACCCTGGCCGGTTGTCGAGTGCGCATAAAGCCACTCTTGCTGATCTCGGTTTTCATCTCCATAGGGCTGACAGATCTCTTGAGCCTTCACGTAGCTTCAGCTAGTTACGTCGGGCATCGTACGCAGCTTGCATGCAGGCAACGCCTGATCCGTTCATGACATTTAATCTTTCATTGGCCTTCCATGGCACGGAGCTTCATCTCCCGGGGGTGCTGTGACTTTGCCGATGCACTCTGCTCTTGTTCAAAAAAGAAGAGCTGCCTCAGTCAACAGCATATCCGCACTCACGAGCCTGCTCGTTGCTCACTATGTGTGAGCAAGCCCAACTGCCACATTGAGGCAGCTATGCCATGCTAGATCGGGTTGGACACTGTCTTTCTTCATGAGCCTACGCCAAGGCGTGGGCAGCTTCTACTACCTCCATTGGTTGGCCACGGACATTATGCCACTTTGCGACCTTACGGCCCACCGCCTCTGATTGAGAGTGACCATGAGTGGGACGCCACGAAACAGGCACTCCGAGTGACGGCCCGTTGGGTACGGCTCATCAATCATTGGTTCGTGGACATGGGACGCCATAGTCCACACTGAGGGTGACGGAGGGTTTCTCACCCAACTGAGTGACATGTGACGGCCTCTGAAGTAGCTTGTAGCTTTAAGTTCTGCTTACCGCTGACTGCCAGCCTCAAGACTCCAGGCCCAGGCTCTCTTCACTCTGCTCTCAGCTCTTTGCTCAGGTGCAAAGGCAGTTTCACACGCCCGCAATGAGCAGAGCCCGCTCGCTCAGCGTCTAATAATAATTGTTGCTTCTGTTGTTGCTGCTGTTGCTGGCATATGCTGGTATGGTGCTCTGGTGGTCGGGGTCGCGGTCGTGATCGTCGTGGTCGTTGTGGTCCTGGTCTAGTCGTCGTCATTGTCCTTGTGGTTGCAGCTGTTGATGTTGCTGTTGATGTTGCTGTTGTTGTTGTTGCTGTGGTTGCTGTTCTTGCTGTTGCTTTTGTTGAAGTTGCTGTTGCTGTCGAAATTGTTGCTGCGACAGCTATTGCTGCTGTTGCTGATGTTACCGTAATGATGATGATCCTTGGTTCTTGGCTTGGGTCATTCTTCCTTGGTTATTTGTTACTGTTTGCCACTGTCGTGGTGGTGACCAACACCAGCACCACGCCAACACCAACAACAACCACAACAACAAAAAAACACACAACCGCGGCTACGACAGCCACGACGACAACGACGAAAGAACAACGGCCACGACAGCAACAGCGACAACACCGCCACTGCGCCACAACAACCGCAGCAGCGGCGGCAGCAGCGCAGTGGCAGCAAGAAAGCAAGAACGGAACTGCAATCAATGTCCAAGGAAATATGAACTTATCATCACTAGAGCAAGACCACCAGCAGTAGTCGTAGAGACAAAAAACACTATGTTAACGAATAAGAACAAGTAGTGGGTACTGGTACTGCTCCTCAGTGACTGCGTCGAATCATACCCCGGGCAAGCAGGTGATCTCAGCCGCTGGCGTCATTAGGCACTTCGTTCTCCACTGCCGTCGTTCCATCTTGGTTTTCCATGGAGTTTAAGAGGGCCTCTGCGAGATATCGTGCTCTCCGGCTCTGCTCAAACATGCAGTAGAGAATGAAAAAAAGAGTGCCTGCAATTCCCGTGACCGGCGGCGCCCATCTAGCCTCTTCTTGGTCTTCTTCTGGTCACAGAAGCTGCCTCGACTGGGCTACAAGCCCTGAGCTCAACTACACACCGCAGCATGCATCGCCATGCCTTCAAGCGCACAGCCGTCTGTTCGACTCACAGCAACCTGCACAATTCCGAAAACGGCTCATCAGCCACGTGGCAATCTCATTCCCGAACTCGATTCATCGGCTCAAACAACCTGCTTTGTCTCCGGCTCGTCGGAGTGGAGCAGCCTGGAAACCAGCTGCTCCTGCTTGCTCGGCATCTTTGTTACCTGACAACTGAGAGCTACGGACCTTTGCCATCCTGTGCTATCATTGGCCAGACCGGTGCTACATGGACCAAGCGTGCCGCCCATATCTAACGTACCAGTGCTGGAAACATCTCAAACGCTTGAGTCTCACTTGCGTTGTGCAGAGCCTGTGCCTGCGAAACACGAATCATTTTCTTCGGTGCCTCCACCTCCGGCTGGTCATCATCGCGAAACGACCTGCAACTTCACAGGAGGGTTCCATCCCCGGGACTAAAGTCCGTGAGCCTTGGCACCTCCGACTTGGCTTTGGTCATCGCCATCCCAAGGTCGCCGGACTGACGAAGCACGAAGCAAGACCACACAACAAACGCAGGAACCACTGAGCTGTTCTTCCGCATCACGCGGGTCCTCATCATCATCTGGGTTTCCATCGGATGGATCCCGAGGATCTGCCATATCATCTTCGCTTGCAAACAGGAGTCAGAACCGATGCGTTGAAATACTGAGGAACTACCGAGGATCAGCCTTAGCACGTCTCGTGAACCGGCAAGCCCCGAGCCTTTCTCTCTTCGGAGAATGACCCCGAGCTTCTGCGTACTGAGGTTCTTGACCTCCACTGCTTGGGCTGTAGGCCTTGGAGGCTCACCAGGAGCAAACAAGAAACCGGGGATTCTTTCCAGGGTCGTGACGACCTTTTTACTGATCCTCGAGGTCGTCCACCTAGGGAACAGGCTCGATATGGAAGTGTCGGCAAACACTGTCTAGGGGGTTTTGGCTTCAAGATCTGTAGAAAGATGTACTGCGACATTCTTGTATTCGATACATGCAAAGATACACTCCCTGCTCCACCCCGTGCTACCTCTGTTAAGCAAAGTAGCTGTGCGGTGAAGTGGGCGGCGAAGGAGACAGGCCTGCCAAATATGGGAGTTTCGTGAAGTAGACATCCCCCATCGGGGGCACTTCTAAAGTGAACCCGTTGTTCAGGGTTTGCCGCTGTTTTCTGAAAGCTCCCAGCTGCATGCAAATAAACCCTTTCGAGCAAGCTTTCCGACGCTGCTTCGCATGCTCTCTGCACCGGAACAACTCGCACTTAAGAACTGGGTTGCATGAGCACTGCAAGAGAATAGATGGAATCAGAAGGCAATCACTTCTTGCAACATGCATTCGCTCTTGTTCAAGCTCGATGGACTATGTACAAGTATGAATATATATATATATATACACACACATACCTGACCAACTGCTGACTTTGCTCCTGTTTGCTTGCTTGTTCTTGCGCTGCTCCGCTTCTGATGTTGCCTTCAAGTTGGCATGTGCTTGTCTGTTTTCCCCTGCCCTTCCCGAGACACATCACTGGCCACCGCGGCCTTCGGTGCTGTAAAGAAGCATGGACTTGTTAGTTGACTCAAGCAGCAGCCGAGCGAAGTTGCAGCCTGCCCCGTCTGCCGGCTGGGCTACCTAGACCCTTCACCCTCGGAATCGCCTCACACCACAAGGACCAACATCGTGCCAGCTACCACCTAAACTGCTGCCTGCAGGTTTGGGCGCGTCGGAGTGTCGCCGAGGTGCTTGTGATCCTGTGCCTTGGCTAACTTTGCAGTTTGCAGCCCTTTAGCTCCTGCTCGCACCATCATGCGCCATGCCAGTAAACCACTTTGAACATCACCACGTGCCGAGCAACTCTTGGTCTTGTTGACTCCGCATGAGGGAGTCGCGTACCGACCCAGATTCTTGCTTGAGGTCATTTCCTCTGGGTCGGGACCTGAACATCCAGATACCACTAGGCTAAGACAGAAGATTGCGAGTAAAGCACACGCCAGGGGACCCCACTTTTCAAGTGGGCCCCGCGGCAGGGTGGCAGCCCAACACGGCCATCTTTGCCCCCTCCCGAGCAAAATACATCACATCCCCAACGTCTTCGCAACACAGCTTGCACCTCTGAGTGAGGCCACCGGCATCGAAGCGGTCGCAAGAATAAACTCTTCGAGGTCAAGATCGCCTGCTTTTCATGTTCTGACGCAGCTGGGGGCGCTCGGAGACGAGACGTGGACAACGAATTTGCCTAAAACGCTTTTCGATGCCGCCTTGCAACCGCTAGGTACGTCGTGCATTGTTTTCCACCGTGGCCCCATCCAGCCTCCATGCGTTGCCACTTTGAGGCTCTTCCTGGTGGCAACTGATTTTGGAGTGACCTCGATCGCAAAAGCAGCGCACCCTGCAGATGAATTGATGAAGACTACAAGGACTACAACCGAGTTGTACGATTCCCACGTCAATTCCAGTTTCCTTAGACAGGTCACTGCCCTCGAAGGCATGGGAGAAGCAACCGGAATCATGGCACCAGACATGGCACCAACAAAGGATCACAGTGATTGGGGGTGGTGAAACTGGCGGTTTCACTGGGGGGCAGCTCATAAGAAGATCCAGTGATCAGGGACCCATGGTCCAAGCTGAAGCCAGCAAGAAAAGAGCGGCAATAATCCTTCTGAGGTTTGCGTGTAGCAAGCATGTCAACGAGGCACTTCTTTTCGAGTACAGGGCCCTGCTTGCGAGGGCAGACTTCTGCGACTCTGAGGCCACTGATGGCCGCTGCCGCCAACTAACGAACCTCTACCAAGCAGTGCGCTTGCCGAGGTTGCATAAACTAGAGTTCTACCGGTGAGCTCTGGAACCACTCGTTGGAGATTTGATGCTGTCTACAAAGTTCAGCCTGAAAGTACTGCTGCGACCCCTTGCTTCACTTTATATAACGTAATCGGAACCTAAGAATTGCCATGAAGATTCCGGTCGACGCAATATCTACCTGGAAAGCCGCTTTCTAGCAATGTGCTGACCTTACAAAAACTAGGACTAGAAAAGTCAGCTCACCAAATTGCACTCTGATGCCCCAAGCTTACGGCTGACACTTCCGCAAAGGCCGCTGTATCTTCCACCAGAAGTGTTTGAACACATACTCTAAAATGGCACCTTTACCCTTGCGCAGTGTTTTAGAGGCCCTAAACCCTAAAACCCCCAAAACCTAAACGCTAAACTCTAAACCATGACAGTCAGTCAGATTTAGCCGATGATCTCTAGGGTGATATTTGGACCATCATGTTCGGAAGCTGCCCTACCATTGTCCTACCACAGTAAGGTGGATGAGTGGATGAGTGGCTGAGAACTCCTGCAAGTACATTTGGGGGTTTCCGAAAATAGGGGACCCTAATATAGTACCCCAAATACCAGGATCCTTGTGATAAAATAAGGACGCGTAAATAAAGTACCACGATTTTCGGAAACTCCCATTTTCGGCTGTGGAGACTTCGGGTCTCCCTCTTTCCTCAGATCAAAGCAGTATCAGGCCTTCACCTCGGAAGCATTCTGCGAGCATCGATGAAACAGCCGTGGCTTTGCCTGTGTCGTCTGACGGCAAGAAGTGTGGTATACAGATTAGAGATGATTTAAGGGTGTAGAGAGAGAGCGGAGGGAGAGAGAGAGAGAGAGAGAGAGAGCGCCAGGGCCGATAGCAGGCCACACTTGACTCGGCACCTGGCTTCCTCAATTAGCTCCTTCTTCCACCCGAGCCAGGAAGCAAATCGACCTTGCTGCAAAATATTGGGTTTAGATTGCTCATGAAAATAATTACATGACATGCTGAGTGAGTTGTCAAATAGCGATGGACTCTCAGGCTGCGCCTATTCGGCTTTTCTCCTCCTCGCGCTTCTGCCGCTGCTGCTCCTTTTTCTTGGCCAGCCTGCGCAACGCTCAAACTCTGGCAAGGGTCCCGAAACCCTCTTCCACAGGCCTGCAAGAGGTAACTTGCAGTCCCAACCGCTTAGCATCAACACTTAGGCCACTGGCGTGGCATGCAGGTCAACAGGCCTTGCAGAGATGCTGGGATCGTCGTCATACTCCTTGCAGGGTTTTGCTGACCAATCTAGACTCGAAAGCTTGGATCTCTCGAAGAAGGCATTCCCGAAGCGTGACTCTCGAAGTCGGGCGAAATCTGTGGTCTCCTGAAGCCTTCTCTGGTCCAGCCAAGTTTGCTGAGCAAAGAAGGTCCTGGCATTCGTGGAACTGGCTGTGGTAAGCTCGTTCAGTTCTGACTCCCAGCATCGTACAATGATGTTGGGCATCTGCAACAAACCTACTTAAAACTGCGCCCAGCGACCATTGAGGAGCGGAACGTTCGCCTGACACTGTGACGCGCAACCGACTGTCCCTTGCAGCGGCTGATCTGTCATGCATGCATGCACGCAGTTATTCATGCGTGCAGTCGAGCAATGAAGCAGACTTCCATTGCTTCACTCTGTCTTCCATTTGTCTGAGCATCTTGCCTTCTTTTCGCTCGGCACCATGCCCTTGCAAATCGAAGCTGACTTACACAGTCAAGTTGCTGTCTTAGTCTATTCGCTTTTGCCGCTTTAGGACTTTGGGGAATCGCACGGACCGGCTGCGACGAGGAGCCACCGAGTTCCGGGCGCTCGGCGGCACCTGTCAGTCGTGCAGGAAGAATGGTCGGGGGGGTTAACGCCTTTGAAGCTCAACAAGAACGCACGTCATTCACACAGGTTCCTCATGACGGGAACTACGAATGGTGCACAACTGCCTTGGTCGAGGTCATCGTCAAGGTATCCTGGAGCGGCCTCTACCTGTACAGGTAGTTTATAGTCTTCTTCAATCAAACAAACATAGGACCCTAACCACAGACAAGCCCTTGCCCGACGAGATACAAGGTGAAACGCACTTTTGCCACCACGGCTCAGGGGCTCTGACAAGCACATCCTCAAAGTTGAGCTGGGCGCACTGCAACCCAATGTCAACATCTTCCGAAGAAGTTGCACTTTTCACTAGGCTTTCTGCGACCTCGTCATCCCACGGTCCATGCCAAAGGAAATTGGTCATGTGGCTGTAAAGGCCGTCGTTGACAACAGGCGCACCCATTGATGCGAGCTGTGCTCGAATCTGGTGAGTCCGCCCGGTGTCAAGATCCAGAAGCATCTCCTGTGACCCATCCTCTACCGATGTGGTTGACAGAATCGTCGTCCGGGCATTCCTCCACTTGTGCCGGCTGTCTTGCACAGGAGCACTCAACGGAGCAACAAGGCGCGGCGCAGGCCTCCCAAAGACTGCATCCGAGAGCCAGTGCTCCAACAACGCCGCCTTCGCCTCTTGAACGACCACCTTTGCTCGATAACGCTTCGTCACTTCTCCTTCACAGAGCAGCTTTCTGAAGCGCTCCGCAGCCTCCCTGCTTCTCGCCAGCAGAGTTAACCCAGAGGTTGCCACATCCAGCCTTTGGCAGGCAACGAGCTCTTCACCTCCCGAGCTGAGCGCTGCTGCAACCAGAGGAACAAGCCATTCCCCTTAGCTCCCATGGAAGTTCATGTCAGCCAAGCGTTACACGATGTGTCGCCTATGTGGATTGCTCGCACTAAGCTCTTTCTCTTTCATCAAGCACCAAATCGACGTACTGCAATGTACTGCAACAGACCTGTTAGTACAAGTCTCGACCATTACTAACGTGAGGTGCGCAGGGCACGCCAGCAGGCTTGTCCACCACAACATATTCCTGGCTGACATACAGCAAACGATCAGCCCAATCGAGGCCTTCCGCAGAGCATCTGTGATATCGCTTTGGCTCGGTATGCACTCGCAGCTCCCCACCGCGCTCCACCAGCGTCTCCTGCTGCGAGGAGCTGCAGGTTCAAACTTTCAGTGACACCACTACGAAGCTCTGCAAGATCCAGCTCCTGTACCAAGTGCCTCTGATCAGAATGCACCGGATGTAGAGTGCTGCCCATCCGCTCGAAACGGTTCCCCTCCGGGGGCATGTAATACACGGCACCTGGCTAACAACAGTCAACAGCAAGCCCACTCAACGGAGAAGCAACGC